TGGCCTCTGTTATCTTCTCCTACCAATAGGGAACCTATGTAAGGACTCTATATGGGCTCTTGGATACCCCATAAGGGAAAAGGGCAGATTTTTGTTTACAACAAAGTGACTTACAGTGCAAGAATGGAAATAATAATCGCAGGTGATCTGCGGCCCTAGCTAAGCCACATGCACTAGATCTCCTGATTTTCTCTCTCTTTTTCTCTCTCAGCTTCACGTTGTCCATTACAACTCAGAGAAGTACAGCAACGTGAGTTTGGCAATGCACCACCCAGATGGGCTGGCGGTCTTGGGCGTTTTCCTGGAGGTAAGCGTTACAATAGCAAAGCCACAATGCGCCTGAAAAGCTGCCCATATGAAGCTTGTGTATGTTCTCTGGGGCAGGGACCTCTCAGGGCACCACAGAAATAAGGAAATAGCAATAGCTCACCCGTCCAATCTCCTCTCTTCCCAATGTGTCTGGCAGGCCGGCGATGCGGAGAACCCTGCCTACGACCACATCCTGGACCTCTTGGACAAGATCCAGTACGCAGGTGAATCGTGCCTCTTGACCAATCAGGGCAGGCAGGTTGTGTGTGTGTGAAATGGGATTTGGACTGTGAAAAGGAGCAGCATTTGAAAAAGGAGGACCCGTCTAGTCCAGCATCCCCTTCGCCCAGTGGTCAAATACCCCTGAGCACCTAGGAATGACGATAGACTGCCTCTAGAGCTGGAGGTCTCATTAGAAAAGCCCTGCTGGATCAAGCCAATGGCACACAGTGTGCTGGGCCTGGGGGTAACCCGAGTAACGAGGTCCAGGTCTGGTCCCGAATCCAAGGGTTCCGCGAGGAGTCAGTCCGACAGGGCCAAGGCAGGACACGAGGCAAGGTCAGGCACAGGATCACAGGCAGGTTCTGGCAAACAGCAATGTTGTTCCCACAACCTGGGGCGAGGTCCATCAGCCTTTTAACTTTGTCAGGGTAACGGCCGGTCCTGATCCCCCGGTGACTCACCTCCCTGTCTCGCCCAAAAGCGAGCACTCCTCCTGCGAGTACTCAGGTCCCTCCTTCTCTCAGACCTCAGTCTCTGCAGCTCGGGAGACGCGGGTGGGTTACTAGACCCAGGGGCCGCCTCAGCCTCCCCTGACCCAACTAGTAGTGGAGCAGCTGTAAGCGATGGCCCAGCTGAAGGCAACGAGATCATCCCTGCATCTGGAGCCAGGGCAGGCTCAGGCCCCTGACTTGGCCCAGCTGGTGTTTGTTGCTGGAGAACCTGTGCATACTGGGGCTCTTCAGAATCAGGCCCCAGACTAGGTTCAGCTGCCGCCTGAGGCAAAGGATCCGGTGCGGACTGAGACTCCTCTGGTTCCGAGTCTGAGCCCAAGTCCCAGGCTATCACACATAGAATCAGAAAATTGTAGGGACGCAGGTGGCATTGTGGGTTCTCTTTGACATCTGGTGGGAGGGCGTTCCACAGGGCAGGCACCACCACCGAGAAGGCCCTCTGCCTGGTTCCCTGTAACTTGGCTTCTCGCAGGAGGGGAACTGCCAGAAGGCCCTTGGAGCTGGACCTCAGTGTCCGGGCTGAATGATGGAGGTGGAGACGCTCCTTCAGGTATACTGGACCGAGGCCGGTTATGGCTTTCAAGGTCAGCACCAACACTTTGAATTGTGCTCGGAAATGTACTGGGAGCCAAGGTAGGTGTTTCAAGACCTGTATTATATGGTCTCAGCGGTCGCTCCCAGTCCCCAGTCTAGCTGCCACATTCTGGATTAATTGCAGTTTCCGGGTCACTTTCAAAGATAGCCCCACGTAGAGCGCATTGCAGTAGTCCAAGCAGGAGATAACCAGAGCATGCACCACTCTGGCAAGACAGTCTGCGGACAGGTAGGGTCTCCACCTGCGTACCAGGTGGAGCTGATAAACAGCCACTGAAGCTGTCCTGTTGCGTTATGGGCTCTTCATTCTCCTCCTCTCTTTCCTCTGCTCACATCTCCTGGACAGAACAGAAAACCACCGTTGCCCCGTTCAACGTCCGCGACCTCCTGCCGGTACATTTGGGCCACTTTTTCCGCTACAACGGCTCTCTGACCACCCCGCCTTGCTTCCAGAGCGTGCTGTGGACTGTTTTCCACCAGCCCGTCCAGCTCTCGGCTGCTCAGGTATCTTCTCCATCAGACACAAACCCTTAGGCTCACCCCCCGAAAACCCAGAGCGATGTTCAGTGCTAGGTGAGCGGGGAAGAGCGGCACTGGAAATTTAGAACATGGGAAAGGGACCTGCCGGTCCTCTAGCCTGACCCCTGAAATGCCGGAATCTTACCTTACCCTTGATTTTGTACCCATTTCAAAGCCACAGAGAATCCTAGGGGGGTTTAGCTCGTGAGCTGGTGTGGCATAGTGGTTAGAGTGCCAGACTAGGACCCTGGAAACCAGGGTTCAAATCCATGAAGCTCGCTGGGTGTGGCTTTGAGGCCAGTCACAGCTTCTCAGCCTGTCCTCCCTCACAGGGGTTGAGGGGATTAAATGAGGAGCGGGCTTTTAACTATGGAAAAGGTCGGTTCCTTGGGTGACTCTGGGTTAACAAGCCGAGATTTTTTTCGGGGGACAGGTGGAGAGTTCCTCCTCCCACAGTACAGAGACAGGGCTGCCTCAAGTTCACCTTTATTTACCTCTTCTCTTTCAGCTAGAGAAGCTGCAGAAATCTGTCTATAGTACAGCGGAAGGCGAAGCCCACCCAGAGCTCCTCATGGATAATTTCCGGGCTCCGCAATCCTTGAATGGCCGAGTGGTTCTTGCCTCTTTCCCCGTGGGTGAGTGCCACCTTCTTGCGCAGGAAAATTCTGCTTAAACACGCATATCTCTCTGTCTGTCTCTGTAAGTCGGATAAATATTGGAGGAGATGCACATGCCAGGGCTCTCCTCCAGTTGCTCACCAACCCTCCCCACAACCCCACCTTGGGGAGGTGTAAAAGGAGGGGGGGCTGGTGAGCAACCCAAGCAGGGATAGCAGCTCCTACAGTGTGTATGTATGCATAGAGAATCCCAGCAACACACAAGCCGGCCCTAAATCTGTTTACTCGGATGTAAGCCTCACTGAGCCCAAAATGATTTATTTCATAGTTAAGTACGCAGAGAGCGTCTGCCTTCGCTTCCAAAGTACAACCATACAATGGAGCAGCGGGAAGAATTTCCAAAGCCCGTGCAAAGCGATTAGAATCATAGAAATGTAGAGTTGGAAGGGACCCCAAGGGTCATCTAGTCCAACCCCCTGTAATGCAGGATTTTCAGCTCAAGCATCCATGACACATGGACACCCAACCTCTGCTTAAAAACCTCCAAGGAATGAGAGTCCACAACCTTCCAGGGGAGACAGTTCCACTGCCGAACAGCTCTCGCTGTCAGAAGTTATTCCTGACGTTTAGTCAGAATCTCCTTCCTTGTCACTTGAAGCCGCGGGTTCGAGTCCTACCCTCCGGAGCAGGAGAAAAAAAGCTTGCTCCATCTTCCACGCGGCAGCGAAAGCTTTCACTCTGATGGGAGGATGGAGGGGGTGGCAAAGACGTTGAGGAACCAAATAGATAAATAAAGTGAGCAGTTGGCATAGCAGCCCTTCCTTGTGCATCATGGTTGCCAACTTTTCAACCGGGGCTGTGCGACTGCGACTTTCCCAGCAGCTTCACCTGCAGCCATGAGCAGGGGGGTGGCATTTCTTTCTGTGCAAATCTGTTAATTTTCGATGTGCTGAGCTGGTAATTGAGGGCTCCGGGAGAAGCTGTCTGAGAGGCTTGGAATGGGCGAATGGAATTCGCTCTTTCTGGGCAAAGTTGCCAGCTAGGAATGGTGGGAAAAACAGGCAGGGAGGTGCCACCCTCTAGTGGACAAAAGTGGCCCAGCAGCCACAAAGGGAGTATGAACAGCGAGGGTTGGGTACAGGTGATGGGTCCTGAATTTAAGAGCACGAGTAGGCAAACTAAGGCCCAGGGGCCGGATCCGCCCCAATCGCCTTCTAAATCTGGCTCTTGGATGGCCCGGGAATCAGCGAGGAATCAGCGAATAGAATGTGTCCTTTTATTTTAAATTTATCTTTGGGTTATTTGTGGGGCATAGGAATTCGTTCATTATTTTTTTTTTTTCCCAAAATATAGTCCAGCCCCCAACAAGGTCTGAGGGACAGTGGACCGGCCCCCTGCTGAAAAAGTTTGCCGACCCCTGGTTAAGAGCAATAAATTTTCCATGTTTAAGGGCCGAGGTGTGATTTGCAAAGGAAATCCAGCCTTCTAAACTGGCTCATGTTGCAGAATCATAGAACTGTAGAACTGGAAAGGGATCCAGGGTCATCTAGACCAACCCCCTGCAATGTTGTGGAATATTCATGTCCTGGTCCATTTCTATTTCTGCTACCGTGTTTTACTTACATATGTCCCTGGTTCCCCAAACGGATGGTATTTCCCCCTAGCCGGGTGGGATTACTTAAAGGTAAAGGGACCCCTGACCATTAGGTCCAGTCGTGGCCGACTCTGGGGTTGTGGTGCTCATCTCGCTTTATTGGCCAAGGGAGCTGGCGTACAGCTTCCGGGTCATGTGGCCAGCAGGACTAAGCCACTTCTGGTGAACCAGAGCAGCGCACGGAAACGCCGTTTACCTTCCTGCCAGAGAGGTACCTATTTATCTACTTGCACTTTGACGTGCTTTCGAACTGCTAGGTTGGCAGGAGCAGGGACCGAGCAACGGGAGCTCACCCTGTCACGGGGATTCAAACCGCCGACCTTCTGATTGGCAAGTGGTTTAACCCACAGCGCCACCCGCATCCCGTGGGATTACTTAAGGGGGTGCTAATAGGCAAGGGCGTGGCAGGGGGCAAGGTGTCGGAGGTGCAAATGACTATCGGCTTTGAAAAGTCGGCATTGCTGAATCAAAGTCATCCTTCTTCTTCTTTTAATTAATCAAACTAGAGTTTTGAATGGATTTTCAATAAATGTGCAATTAATCATTGCTGTTCTGAATTTTATTGTGTTGTTATCTCCCTTAGCAGGTTGTGCAAATTGCTATTCTGAATAATGCTTTTTATAGGGTAGAGCAGGGAGTACTGGGGATGAGTTCGTGGATCTAGTGTCGGGGGTGGGGGCGGAATGGTGGCCCCCCCCCCAAATTCCAGAAACCACTGTGTTGAACTTTTGTTTTGCAATGGTCCCTGAGGACTAGAAACAATCAAAGTTAATAAAATCATAGAATCGTTAGAAGGGACTGCGAGGGTCACTTTGTCCAACCCTGGGCAATTCAGAAATCTTTTGCCCAACGTGGGGCTGGAACTCACAACCTCGAGATTAAGAGTGTCATGCTCTTACCAACTGAGCTATATATACAATACGATACGATACAATAATCTTTATTGTCATTGTGTCATACAGAACAACGAAATTGAAAAAATCTACCTCAGACATTCAAAAACCAACAAGCCTGCTATCCCAGCTATCCCAGCCTGGTTAACCCCCTAAAAACACCCCATAATTAAATACAATATACTCCCACAGAGACTACCTTACACTGCGTTTAAAACCAAAATCGCAGTTGGATAAAACCTGTTTCTCAGGCAGCTAGTCCTAGTCTTCATAACCCTGTACCTTCTTCCAGAAGGCAGAAGCTGAAAGAGATGATATATTTTTTGCTCTATAAGACTCACTTTTTCCCTCCTAAAAAGTAAGGGGAAATGTGTGTGCGTCTTATGGAGCGAATGCAGGCTGCGCAGCTATCCCAGAAGCCAGAACAGCAAGAGGGATTCCTGCTTTCACTGCGTAGCGATCCCTCTTGCTGTTCTGGCTTCTGAGATTCAGAATATTTTTTTTCTTGTTTTCCTCCTCTAAAAACTAGGTGCGTCTTGTGGTCTGGTGCGTCTTATAGAGCGAAAAATACGGTATGTAATGCATACCTGAAAATGCATAACACTGAAAATTCCTCTCATCTTACCTTTCAGGGCCGCCAGGATATTCTGCAGGTATGTGGACCTCTTGTTTATTCAGCGGGATGGACGGAGCTGCTCTATGGAGGGGTCACCTGGAGGTGTTACCCGCGGGGTGGTGAAATTTGCAAGAATGGCATAGGGTGGTGGCTTGACATGATGGAATGGAGGGTGGGAGCTGGGAAAGGGCTATGGAGGGAGCCAGGCAGGATCTGGGGATGGTCACAAATCCTGCAGAGCCTGGCAGGGGGCATCGAGGTGGCAGGTGGAAGAGGTGACCGCAACTGGAAATATTTATTTAAACATCCCAGAGAATGAGCCCTGGCTCAGTGGAAGAACATTTGCTGTTCATCCACAAGGTCCTGGGTTCAGTCCCCACTTCTGACATCTCCAGGCAGGGTTAGGAGAGGCCCATGTATTAGAATTGTGTTCTCAGTATCTTGAGGACTAGAATGCTGCTTAGTTTTTAAGGAAAGGGCCAAAGCTCAGGGATTTGTTGTTGTTGTTGTTGTTGTTGTTTAGTCGTTTAGTCTTGTCTGGCTCTTCGTGAGCCCCTGGACCAGAGCACACCAGGCACTCCTGTCTTCCACTGCCTCCCGCAGTTTGATCAAACTCATGCTGGTAGCTTCAAGAACACCGTCCAACCATCTCGTCCTCTGTCGTCCCCTTCTCCTTGGGCCCTCCATCTTTCCCAACATGAGGGTCTTTTCCAGGGAGTCTTCTCTTCTCATGAGGTGGCCAAAGTAGTGGAGCCTCAGCTTCAGGATCTGTCCTTCCAGTGAGCACTCAGGGCTGATTTCCTTCAGAATGGAGAGGTTTGATCTTCTTGCAGTCCATGGGACTCTCAAGAGTCTCCTCCAGCACCAGAATTCAAAAGCATCCATTCTTCGGCAATCAGCCTTCTTTATGGTCCAGCTCTCACTTCCATACATCACTACTGGGAAAACCAGAGCTTTAACTATACGGACCTTTGTTGGCAAGGTGACGTCTCTGCTTTTTAAGATGCTGTCCAGTTTGTCATTGCTTTTCTCCCAAGAAGCGTTTTTTAATTTCGTGGCTGCTGTCACCATCTGCAGTGATCATGGAGCCCAAGAAAGTAAAATCTCGCACTGCCTCCATTTCTTCCCCTTATATTTGCCAGGAGGTGATGGGACCAGTGGCCATGATCTTTTTTTTTTTTATGTTGAAGCTCAGGGATAGAGCGTGCATAATGTCCCATCAACATCTCCAGGTAGACCCCCCGCTGGTTAGTGCCAACAACAATGAGCTAGAGGGGTCTGTATAACACAGCTTCCTTTATTCCTATTTAAGCCAGCCCTTCCTGAAGAACCATGAGGACTGGAACCTTACTATTGCTTTTAAGTGAAAGTGCTAGAGTGCCTGCTACTTGGCACCCAGGAGGTCCCAGAGCCAGTCCCTGCCGGCACCTTGTCAGGACTGGGAGAGACTCCTGCCCAAAGCTGCGGAGGGTTGCTACCAATCAGTGCAGACACTACTGATCTAGGTGGCAGAAAGGACAGTTTCCTATATTCCAGGAGAGAGAGAACAGCGCTCTCCATCTTCTCCTTGAGTTTCAGGCAAGTATGTAAAGAAATAGCCTCTTCAGCTGCTCCACTGCGCTAGTCCTCAGTGAGGAAGCTACGCACATTCCACCCCAACCAACTTGGGACTCTGTATTTTATTTATTTAACAAAATTTATGCACCGCTTATGAGGACAAAAGGCCTCTAAGAGGTTTGTAGGAGACAGTCTAAAATATTCAGCTGTAAAGAAGAAACATAAATGGCGCTCTCTCTCTCCCTCTCTCCCTTCCAGGTGAGATTGTGGCCATCATTTTCGGGTGATTTTGGGTTGCCTGGGCATCTTCCTCGCCGGCTGGATTGTGGCGAAGAGAATACGGTGAGATGCGGACACAGACTGAGGCCGAGCTGGTTCCTTCTTCCGGCAGGAGGTATCCCCCCTGGTTAACTTGATGCCAAAAACAACAAGTGGTACCCCAGACATGCCCCCCCCCCCCACAAGGAGATGGGTGCTGTCAGGGAACTGACATCGGAGCTAGAGGCGGAGGGAAGGCTCTCAAATGATGCTGGAGAAGGTCCCAGCAGGGAGAGAGGCAGCTCCGCAGATGGGGAAGCAAATCAGTGCAACACCAGGGATAAAGGGGGGCAGATGGGGGAATCGGCGAGAGGGCTCCAGGACTCTTCACCGGACACCAGCGGGGAGAGCACGGGTCCTCCGCTACCCACGCCCTCCCTGCGCAAAAGACTTCCGCACAGGGAGAGTAGGAGGAGACTGGGTGTCAAACAACTTTTATGTTGGAAAAGGTTTAAGAAACGCCCACTGACGGATTCTGCTAGTGACTGAGGCAGCCACGAATTGAAGGGGCTGTCCAGACAGAAAGGTTTAACAAGGCAACATAGCCAGGAGAGGCGGCAACTTACGCACGAGCAACCCCATACCATTATAGGTGCTAATTTGGGGTGAGGGCTGTGGTGCCTCTTAAGACCCTGTCAGGACTGGGGAACTCCCATTAGGCTCAGCAAGTGGCAATGGGAATTGTAGTTCAGCCAGCGCCTTAGAGCAGAATCCCCACAGCTGCTATAGGATCTCAGTTATTTCTGCTGCCTCCCTGACTTTCGCCCTCCCTCCTTCTCAACCAGGGAGAAGAGGATGGAGGAACAAAAGGGCGTCGTCTTCACATCTTCTTCCCGGCGAGCGGTTTTGGACTGACACCTTGACTCGCGACGCAGACAGGCTCCCTCTGAACCATCTCCTCTTCCTTTGCCCTGACACACACACACAAATTACGCATTTTGCAGGGCCAGGAAGGGCAGCAGATGAGGCCACAGAAATTTGGCCCTCCCGATGTTGAGGAACTACAACTCCCACCCCTTCCCTGGGTGGGAGTTATAGTTCGGCAGCTCCTGGGTCGCCAAAGGTCTCCCACCTCCGCTTTGTCCAGAGAGCAGGAATTTAGGGTGGCCTTTCTCTCAAGCAGCTGCCTTCCAGATAATGTACTCCAACTCCCATCGGCCAACGCAACCAACGAGTTGAGGAAGTTTACAGGGTCAACATCTGGAGATGCAATGCTGATAAGAAGGGAGGAAAATCCAGGTTGTTTAAAAAGAAAAAAGTTTGGCACAGCCTGCTAGGTTTGACAAGGAACAGATGTACAAAGAGTTTTGGGTTTGTCCACTTTGCGATTTCTTTCCACCCGGGGAAAAAAAAAATCAGAATCAGAACATTCTTGTTATTTTCATGGATTTAAAACACCCACACATACACACCGCATTTCTTCCTGGAGCCAGTTGCAAACAGATGTAGACTGAGTCCTCTTTTGATCAGATCGTTTCCATCTAACCACTTTATAAAAGAAATAAAAGTCCCTTCCCCATCTTTTTGCCCCAGTGACTGCATACTGCTTTGGATTTGGGGTGGGGGAAAGGGTGGTGGGGAGACAAGGGGAGATGGGGCACAAATCTCTTTTGGGGAGGAAATCTCTAGTGTGTCGGAACCGGGAAGAGACCAGGGTTGAAATCCCTGCTTGGACATGAAGTGGGCGAACTTAGGCCGGTGGCTGCCTGTCGGCCGACCTCACAAGTTTGTTGTGTGGGTTAAAAGAGGAGGGGAGAGAACCAGGTTTGCCACCTATATTGATGGAATGAATGAATGAATGAATGAATGAATATTAGGGGATATAAACGTGGATTTGAAAGGGAGCTGGTCCAAACCTTTGCTCATTTTATGCTTGTTTCAGGTTAGCACTACGAGACCCTTTGGGGATGGTCTGTTAGCTTAGGTAGTGTGAGCAAAGCTAATAATAATAATAATATTTATACCCCACCCACCTGGCTGGGTTTCCCCAGCCACTCTGGGCAGCTCCCAACAGAACATTAAACACGATAAAACATCAGACATTAAAAACTTCAGATGCCGTCAGATGTCTTCTAAAAGCCAGATAGTTGTTTATTTCCTTGACATCTGATGGGAGGGCGTTCCACAAGGCGGGTGCCACTACCGAGAAGGCCCTCTGCCTGGTTCATAATGATCTGTTTCACAATCTCTTTGAAATGTGGGGTGGGGGGAGGAGCCACGAAGCATAGAGGAGATGGTTTCTGTAATTCCCAAGCCAACAGACAACAGGGCACCGCCATATCCTGAATCAGGCCGTCAGGGTCCAATTTAGTACTTGCCAACACTGATTGGCAGCAGTTGGCTTTCCAGGGTTTTGGGCAAGGGGTGGCAGGGGACAGAACCCGGGGCCTTCCGCAAGCAAAGCAGATGCTGTACCACTGAGATACAGCCCTCCCATCGTAAACGATGCAAGTGTCTAGTCCTCATGGTTCTGGACTGATTCAAACAGGAAGCTGCCCTGTACCAAATCAGAGCCCTGGTCCGTGAAGTGCAACATAACTTACACTATAGACTCTACACACTGACTGGCAGTGGCGGGTCTCTGGTTTTCAGGCAGGGGTCTCTCTCTCCCAGCCCTGCCTGGTGACGCCATTGGGGACTGAACCTGGCGCAGCTCTGCCAACTGAGTTGGGGGTTGGAATAGATGGCTCCTGGGTGTCCCTTCCAACAGTTCAGTTCTCCAGTGCTATGATGTTAGGATTCCCACCTTCAAATATAGCATGCCTGAAGAATGGATGCTTTTGAATTCTGGTGCTGGAGGAGACTCTTGAGAGTCCCACGGACTGCAAGAAGATTAAACCTATCCATTTTTAAGGAAATCAGCCCTGAGTGCTCCCTGGAAGACAGATCCTGAAGCTGAGGCTCCAATATTTTGGCCACCTCATGAGAAGACAAGACTCTCTGGAAAAGACCCTGATGTTGGGAAAGATGGAGGGCACAAGCAGAAGGGGACGACAGAGGACGAGATGGTTGGACAGTGTTCTTGAAGCTACCAGCATGAGTTTGACCAAACTGCAGGAGGCAGTGGAAGACAGGAGTGCCTGGCGTGCTCTGGTCCAGGGGGTCACGAAGAGACGGACATGACTAAACGACTGAACAACACCACAGATTGTACATGAGAATGGCCAAACACAACCCCCCTCCCTGCAATTCCTTATTTGCGTGTTGACATGGGAACCGAAATTAGGAATTCCGCTACATTCCACACCAGCCGCCACTTGGGAGCGGAATGCAGTTTGTGGCGGGGGCACAGGGAACGTTGCCAACACAGGATCAGCTGATTCCTGCATTCCCTGCCAAAAATAGCCAGAGGCCTCTGAGAGGTGGGCATTTTACAAACACCACCTTTCCCAGCAAAGAAGACCCCTCGGTCTGCGAGGTGGGGTATCTCTGGGCTTTTGCTGGTGGTTGGGGGAGGAAAACTCCCCCTCGGACCTCTTCCTTCTGCCCCATGGAAGATGGAGCAAGTTTGTTTCCTGCTGTTCCAAAGGGCATAGGCCAAACTGATAAATAATAATAATAATAATAATTTATTTATACCCCGCCCATCTGGCTGGGTTTCCCCAGCCACTCTGGGCAGCTTCCAACAGAATATTAAAATACAATACAGTGGTACCTTGGGTTACATACGCTTCAGGTTACAGACTCCGCTAACCCAGAAATATTACCTCGGGTTAAGAACTTTGCTTCAGGATGAGAACAGAAATTGTGCAGCTGCGGCGCCGCGGCAGCAGCAGCAGGAGGCCCCATTAGCTAAAGTGGTGCTTCAGGTTAAGAATGGACCTCCGGAACAAATTAAGTTCATAACTCGAGGTACCACTGTAGTCTATTAAACATTAAAAGCTTCCCTAAACAGGGCTGCCTTCAGATGTCTTCTAAAAGACTGGTAGTTGTTTTTCTTTTTTGACATCTGGTGGGAGGGCGTTCCACAGGGCGGGTGCCACCACCGAGAAGGCCCTCTGCCTGGTTCCCTGTAACATGGCTTCTGCAGTGAGGCAACCGCCAGAAGGCCCTTAGCACTGGACCTCAGTGTCCGGGCAGAACGATGGGGGTGGAGACGCTCCTTCAGGTATATTGGACCGAGGCCGTTTAGGGCTTTAAAGAACCGATGAACTCAAACAGCAATAACGGAGATTCCCACTAGGCTTAGGAAGAACTACGCAATTACAGTGGTACCTCGGGTTACATACGCTTCAGGTTACAGACTCTGCTAACCCAGAAATAGTGCTTCAGGTTAAGAACTTTGCTTCAGGATGAGAACAGAAATCATGCTCCGGCGGTGCGGCAGCAGCAGGAGGCCCCATTAGCTAAAGTGCTTCAGGTTAAGAACGGTTTCAGGTTAAGAACGGACCTCAGGAACGAATTAAGTACTTAACCCGAGGTACCACCGTATATGATTCTTTGGGGGGACGGGTTCCAAGCGTCAAAACATCTCCCTCATGCAAAGACCCCCTTTCCTTGCCTGAGTGCAATCGTGCCAACTGCAATCCTGAAGATGGGATCCCAGACCCCCCACCAAAACCAACAGGAGACATTTATAACAGTTCTACCCATCCCTAGCATTGCCACCCTTTGCACCTGTAGAATAATAATAATAACATGGCGTTTTGCCACTCCCAACGCAGTAAGCCCTATTACAAGAGAGAAGTCCTTTTATTCATTGCAGCAACAGGGATGATAGGAAAAAGGATCCTGGCTTCAATATATATCTCTATATTTAAAGGACTGGTGATCTGTCAAAAAACAACCCAAACCCTTTAAATGCCTCTTCCTTCCCCAACATATCAAAGCAGCAGTATGTTAATGTAGATGCAGTGGCACATCCTGGCCAGCAGATGGCGCTAAAACTTCCTGCTGCAGCACATGTGCTTTCCTGCCCCAGGTTCCAATACTGCTGCTCACTGGCTGGCAGCCACAACCATAGAGTTGGGGGGGGAAATCCAGAGGGAGAGACAGCCTTCTTCTCTTGTTCCTGTTTGAAAGTGGGTGGGGGACAGAATCATTTAAACTCTTCCTCTTTATGGAGAAAGCCCTATTTGCCTTGGCACTGGCCAGCAGCCACACGGCCATCTTCAGTTGGAGGTGCCAACTTAGCCCTTGGTGACTCCACACTTACAGGGCTGCCATATGCCCAGAATTTCGCAAACATATCCGGGATTCGTCTGCCGAAAACAGCGTCCAGGCAGAATTTCTGATAACTGGTTAAAAAGTCTGGGAAAATCCATGTTGGAAGTGGGGGTTTTTTGCAAAGAAAGAAAGAAAGAAAGAAAGAAAGAAAGAAAGAAAGAAAGAGTTTTGATAGCCCCAAAGTGGAAGTCACAGGAGATTCCGACTGTAAGGGAATGGCAGATAAAGTTGGTTGGATACGCTGAAACGGCAAAATTGACACACAGAATTCGCAATCAGGAGGAGACGAAGTACCAAAAAGAATGGAGTAAATTTATGGTTTGTATAAGTGAGAAGTGTAGAAATATAAAAACGTTGGCAGGATTGAATTAAATCTTATGTCACGGTGTAATTTTTAACCAATGAAACTGTGAATTATAGATTGGAATAAGAAAACTTGGGGAAGGGAAGGACGGAAGTCAACGGCTCTATGGAGCATAAAGTAGGATATATGTAATAAGATTTGATGTTTTTGTTGGTTGGTGTTGGTGTTCTTAAATCTCAATAAAAAGCATAAGAATAGAAAAGAAAAGAAAAGAAAAGAAAAGAAAAGAAAAGAAAAGAAAAGAAAAGTTTTTTGTAATGAAAGAAAGAAAGATAGATCCACAACTTTATTGTCCGGATTTTTACTTTTTGAAATATGGCAACCGTACACACTCAACTGGACCTAAACCTTCTTCTTCCCTTCCTCAAATATCCCATGAAGGCCGCTCTCATCGTCTAAGGGACCTGCTATCTTTCGTGGTCCTTGGGCTTGACCGCAGCTAGCACTGAGGGAGGGAGTCCACCTGTGGCCCACCAGATATTGCTAGGAGTCCAGCTCCCTTCAGCCCCTGCCACGATGGCCAAGGAGCAAGGGAATGCTGGGAGCTGGGAGCCCCCAACAACTTAGGGAGGGCTGCCCTCGCGCATTCAGACACACATATATTAAAAATCCAGGGCTCCAGTGTTTCAACGCATCGAGGACAACAGGAAGGCGTTTCAGTCCAAAGGCTTTTCATGGGCCACCTCTTCTGTCCTCTCAAAGGAAAAAGAAAAGAAACTTCAGTTCAGTTTTTGTCCTTGAAAAAGTACGACAGTAAAACAAAATCAATTGCACACAGAGGAAGGATTCTTTCAGAACAAGGGATCATTCCAGGTTGGGAGTTTTAACAGCAAAAAGTGGGTGACCGACCTTCACTGCCGTCAGCAAGACTGATCTAGAGTAACCTGGTCACTTGAGGGGATCGTGCTCTCTTTGCAAATTAGAGCAGGATCGGCGACTCACAGCAGCAGGGCCAAATCCGGGCCTTCTTGAACAGTTCCAACCAGCTTCCAGTTGATATTACGATGCTGATGGGAATTGCTTCATTCGAGGAGGGTGGATTGTGGTCGAGCAGGCCTGCTCTCCTCTCTTGGCCCTCTGGCCAAAGTTGCCGACCAGGAGTAACGGGCGCCTAGCCTAGGCACAATGAACTTCGCACCACTTTTAGGTCAACATCACACATCCCAGAAAGAGAACTGGTTGTATATCCTGAGCTCCCCGACGTTGAAGAAGAGGGAAAAGGGCCTCATTTTGGCTCCAAGAAATTGTGTGTCCCAAGAAAACATCGGAGGACAAATTACGTGGCCTTGTTTGCCTCTACCGAAAAGATGAAACTGCTTAAGAGATTAACCGACGTTCTCCCTCTTGCAGATCAGAGTCAAAAAAAATATACCTCCTTACACACACTGGAGGGACGGTAGGGAAGCCAACCACATGGAATATTGAATTCCCAACCACATGGAATACTGAATTCCCAAGCACGTGGAATATGTAATGAGCTCTTTTTGGGAGTAGTTATCATCCTGCCATCAGAGCTGTCATCATCCCTTGGGCTAGGAGGGTCGACTCTGGACTTGTGCCTCCCAGACAGAGGGGGGAGGGAAGAGAGAGGGCGTGGATTTGATTGGCAGAGGCTGAAGCCAACGGAAGGGCACTTGGGTGGTCCTCAGGAGCATCCTCAGATCCAGGATGTTGAAAAAGGGTGGGCCTAGTCCTCCACAGGAAGCTGCAGCGCAGAGGAGACCATCACTTGGTCAGCTTCCTTCCGCCGGCCTGGAAGAAAAGGGGGGCTGTGTCAGGACAGAGAAAGACAGACGTATAGAGGCAACCACTGGCTAAACTCCATCTAAACCACGTTATCTGGGTGGTCGCTGCTGCCAGTTGGGCAATCTTTGGCCAGCTGTCTGCTAGTAAGACTCTGGCCCTATCTTAAGCACTTTAAACTGGATCAATTTAGGCAGACATGGCTTCCCCCCAAAGGATCCTGGGAAGTGTAGATTTTTTTATATATATATTATTGTTTCAGAATATTTATCTCTTTTTAAAAAATATATATATATAAATTTTATTAGTATTCTCCACACAACAACACGAAAAATATTGAAAAATAACAATACACAAAACACAAAAACCAATATTCAAAAAACAAAAAAACCACAAATCCATATCTTACAAGTTAATAATATAAACACTAAAAAGAAAAACAAACATTGACTTCCACCAATCCCACAGCACCTCCTTTACCTCTCATTGTGTCTTCCTGTTTTCCTGATCATCTCTATCCTAACATCTAGATGTAAATCCCTCTTTCTTATCCTTTCACTTCACAAGGTTATTCCAGACTCAGACAGATTTCTGCCCTCGAACCTTGACTTTTAAGGTATTCATTTAGGCACTTTTTTTACTTCACTTTTTGGTTTTTTTCTTATTATGCCTGTCGATTTGGCTAATTCTAAATATTCTGAAAGCTTACATAACCACTGGGAACTGTAGATTTTTAAGGGTGCTGAGAGTTGCTAGGAGGAGACCCTCTGTTCCCACCAGAGAAACCAGTCCCAGAATTCCCTGGAAAGAAGGAACCGGCTGTTAAACCACTCTGGGAACCATCGCTGTCTCCTGCAGGACCGAGTTCCCAAGTTTAACTCGGCGCTGTGTGAAGAAGCACTCCTTTTATCTGTCCTGAATACTCCAAAGCCCATGAGTTCCAATGTTATGAGAGAGGGAGGAAAACATTTCTCTCTGCCCTTTCTCCATGCTATGCACAATTTGATAAGACTCCTCACGTCACCTCTCGCCTGCCCTGCCTTTTTCTCTAAACCAACAAGGCTCAAACACTTGAAATCCCTGCAGACATATGGACTAGAAACTTGGGTTTTAAATTTTTTTTTAAACTAAAGCTACCACAGTTTTCGCTCTATAGGACGCACCTGACCATAGGACGCACCTTGTTTTAGAAGGGGAGAACAAGAGAAAAAAAATCCCCCTCTCTGCTCAGCGCCCCTTCAGTGAAGCGGCAGGAGAAACGGAGCCCCTTCCATTTCTCCTCCCGCTTGGCTGAAGGGGCGCTGCACAGCTCTCCCTCTCTGCTGAAGCCGGGAGAGTCTGGCTCTCCCGGCTTCAGCAAAAGGAACCCTAAGCCTTCGGAGCGCAGCGCGAGTTCCCGCTGTGCTCCGGAGGCTTCAGGCGGCTATCCCTAAAGCCCCTCTCGCTCTCCAGGCTTCAGCAAAAGCAACGCATAGCCTCCGGAGCGCGGAGGGAGCGCTCCTCTGCGCTCGGAGGCTTCGTGTTGCTATCGCTGAAGCCAAGGAGCCTGCATTCGCTCCATAGGACGCACAAACATTTCCCCTTAATTTTTGGAGGGGGAAAAGTGCGTCCTATAGAGCGAAAAATACGGTATTTGCTTAGGTTAAGCAAGCTGTTTCTGCTCCTACCCATGCCTGTATAAACCTAGGTGGACTGGGGGTGGTGGTCTGTTTTAGCTATTGCCCTGCACCCGTTCCTCTTCCACACAGAAGTGCGACCCTCACATGACAGGCAGGTGACGATGCTCCTCAGGGAACCTCCGGCGGTGAAGAAGGCCCAGACCCCCATGGAGAAGGTGATGATGAAGATGGGGATGAGGCTGGCTTCGTAGCAAGGATTTAGAAACGTCTGTGGAGACGGGAGAAAAAGAGAGGATTTCAGAACAAAGGATTTCAGACCACAATAAATCTGCTCCATATAATAATAATAATAATAATAATAATAATAATAATAATATATTATTTATACCCTGCCCATCTGGGTGGCTTCCAACATAATATTAAAATACAATCGTCTATTAAACATTAAAAGCTTCCCTGAACAGGGCTGCCTTCAGATGTCTTCTAAATGTCAGGTAGTTGTTTATCTCTTTGACATCTGATGGGAGGGCGTTCCACAGGGCGGGTGCCACCACCAAGAAGGCCCTCTGTCTGGTTCCCTGTAACTTGGCTTCTCGCGGCAAGGGAACCGCCAAAAGGCCCTCAGCACTGGACCTCAGCGTCCGGGCAGAATGATGGGGGTGAAGACGCTCCTTCAGGTATACTGGGCCGAGGCTGTTTAGGGCTTTAAAGGTCAGCACCAACTTTGCATTGTTCTCGGAAACGTACTGGGAGCCAATGTAGGTCTTTCAAGACCGGTGTTATGTGGTCTCGGCGGCCGCTCCCAGTCCCCAGTCTAGCTGCCGCATTCTGGGTAAGTTGTAGTTTCCGGGTCACCTTCAAAGGTAGTCCCATGTAGAGCACATTGCAGGAGTCCAAGTGGGAGATAACTGGAGCACGCACACCCTGGCGAGACAGTCTGCGGGCAGGTAGAGTCTCAGCCTGCGTACCAGATGGAGCTCCATATCCAGTCTTTAGCTGTGGTTCCTGCATTGCAGGGGGTTGGCTGGATGACCTAGGGAGGGCCCTTCCAGCTGTATGATCTGATCCTGTATCCTCTCCTTGCGGTTGCTGCCAATCCCTTCCACATCCCATAAACCTCTTCAAAGCAGGCAGCCCAGGCTCGTCTCCACGGCAACTGCGGCTGACCGATGTGGCTTAGGGGATAATTCCCTGCTGTTCTAGAAGGCCAGATGGTTTTCATGTGACTGCAAATCTCGCATTTAATGTCCTCCCACCATCCTCTTCTCCTCCTACACTGCTAAGGAGAAGAGTGGAGCAGGTAGGGGGTGCGAGGAAAACAAATCAAGAGTCCTGCTAGAAGGCCTCACTTTCCTTTGCAACACCTGGAAAAGCACACAGGAAAGCCTTTGGAAATCTGGGGAGAGGGGTGGTTGTAACTGAGCCGGGATATCACATGTCATTTGAGACCTTTAACACCAGAAGATTTTTAAAAGGGGCGCAGGAATAAAACTATTCACGTTACTGTGTGAATTCAATATTCACTATTAAATGGAGAAATCCCCACCCCACCAATAAACAACAGGATAAATGGACAGCATAAAAACAAAGTAAGTGGCCTGCAGGATCAAGCCCATCTTGTCTAGCATCGTGCTCTCACCCAATGCCTGTGGCAAACCCACAAACAGAATTCGGGCACAAGAGAATCTCTCCCTGCTGCAGTTTCCAGCAATTGGAATTCAGAGACATCGCCGCTCCGGCCGTGGAGGTAGAACGTAAGCGTTGTGCCTCGTGGCCACTGATAGCTTCACTCTATGAATTTGTCCAGTCCTTCTTTAAAGCCACCCAACTTAGTGGACATCACTGCCTCTTGTGGGAGCGAGTTCCACAGTCTATGCACTGCGTGAAGAAGTACTTTATCTGTCCTGAACCTTCCAGCGTTCAACTTCATTGGATATCCCTAAGATCTAAGGTTACAAGAGAGAGAGAGAAGCTATTCTCTAAACCTTTGGGCCCATCTAGCTCAGTCGGGACGTGGGTGGCGCTGTGGGTTAAACCACAGAGCCTAGGGCTTGCCGATCCGAAGGTCAGCGGTTTGAATCCCCACGACGGGGTGAGCTCCCGTTGCTCGGTCCCTGCTCCTGCCAACCCAGCAGTTCGAAAGCACGTCAAAGTGCAAGTAGATAAATAGGTACCGCTCCAGCGGGAAGGTAAACGGCACTTCCGTGCACTGTTCTGGTTCGCCAGAAGCGGCTTAGTCATGCTGGCCACATGACCCGGAAGCTGTACGCTTGCTCCCTCGGCCAATAAAGCGAGGGAGCAGGGACCGAGCAACGGGAGCTCACCCCGTCACGGGGATTTGAACCACCGACCTTCTGATCGGCAAGCCCTAGGCTCTGTGGTTTCACGTGCCACCCGCATCCCTTGAGACTCCTTAAGGGGAGTGAAAGGCAGGATATCAAGTCCAAACTCTCCTTCTTCTTCTTGCGGGAGGGAGTTCCGTAGTTTAACCCACGCGCTGCGTGAAGAAATATGCAGGAGTGTTTCTGCATCCATGTCTTCTCTGCATGTTTCCCTTTCGGGCGTCTGCTCAGCTACTGTGAGAACAGGATTCTGGATTAGATGAGCCGCTAACCTCACCCAGCTAGAGGGCTCTTTCTTACGGACTTTCTTATGGAACCTCCAGCTCCAGGGGCAGTCTATCTGAATTCCTAGGTTCTTGGAGGCATTCAGCCACTGCGAGAACGGGATGCTGGAATAGACTGGGGTCAGATCCAACAGTGCTCTCCTGATGTTCCGATGTAACACGGGTCATTCTACTCACCAAGCCAGACGTGACCAGGTGACTGATGACCACCAACGCCAGAGTCCAGTAGCGGCCCTTCTCACAGGCGTCGAAGAAGATCGTGCCCCAGAACGTGTGTAGGAAAACCAGCGCCATCGTGAGGAAGGCTGAAAGGAGGAGGGCGGGAGAATGGTCAAGCCATATTGTGGTGAGTACGATTTACGCTGTTTCTCAAAATCGGTGGTTTGGCAGTCTGTTCCATGTGGACAGTGCCAGTTTAGCGAAGCATTTGACAATCTTTTTTGGACTGCCAAGTGGCCAGCACCCCAGGTAGGGATGCAATTGTCCCATTACTGGAGGCCTTTATTAGTCAGTGTGGAGCAGGGCAGGGGAAAGTTTGGCCATCCTGATAATTTTAGACAGCAACTCCCATTGGCCAACATTTAGAGATGACGGATGCATGTTTTATTTTATCTATTGTTAAACATATATCCTTCCTCCCAAAGGCAGGAGTGATCGGACTTCTTAACATCAATCCCACTACACCCTGAAGACTAGGCAAGATCTCTTCTAGACAAAAAAAAGGTTATTTATATATGCTACTACTACTGCGGCCCGTGTTTTGTTAGCCCAAAAATGGAAAACGAGCGAGGTCCCAAGCAAAGAAGAATGGGAACTTAAACTGACGGAATACAGTATGTGCAGCTTGCAGACCTAACTCACAGAATAAGAGAACAAGAAGAATGTATGTTTAAAGAAGATTGGAAAACGTTTATTGAATATGTGGGGGGAATTTGTGTACATTTGAAAACGCTGGTAGCATTAAGATAAATTTGACAAATAAGCTTTGATGGGTGCAATAATGGAATACTGAATGGTTTAGTTTATATAAAATATGCAGGGATTTATGTTATGCAAAATGAACCATGGAAAGAGAAGGAGGGAAGTCATTGATACTTTAAGGTTGTTTAAATGAATATTTTAAATTGTAAAATTTATAAATAAAAGGAAAGATCTGTTCTTGGACAGCTTGCAGAAGAGGAAGGTACGCAGCAAGTGCCAAAAACTCAAGAGAGAAAGCACCTCTCCAATATTTAGAGGTCAGAATTCCAAATGAGAGATGCCACAACCTTGAAGGCCCTGTTTCTCTATTGCAGACACCTTCAAACTCGGCTCCTCCAGATGTTTGGGACTACAATCCCATCATCCTTAGCTAACAGGACCAGTGGTCAGGGATGATGGGAATTGTAGTCCCAAAACATCTGGAGAGCCGAATTTGGGGATGTCTGCTCTATTGTATGGAATGGGCCTCCTGATAAGCTGGTTATCCTCACCTGGGGGGTGCAGGTGTCTGTCAGGTATATAAGGGCTGAGACCATTCTACATGTTTTCTTTTAGGATTCTAGAGGGCCAAAGGTTTCCCCATAGTGAACACTGAGAACTTAGATGGATCCCAGAAGTCTGGCTCAGTATCAATGGCCTTCCTATGTTCCCAAAAGAATGTCACCTGAAGTTAATTTTTTTTCTAACCAAGAACCAAAACACAAACAGTGAAAACAAACAGTGAAACCCCCCAGGCGGCTGATCCATTGGGTATACATAATCAATGATAACATATTCAAATCAGCTATATGTACAATTCTATACATACCTTAACACTCCTCCCTCCACAAGGTTTATTTACAGTGGTGCCTCGCAAGACAAAATTAATCCGTTCCGCGAGTCTCTTCGTCTAGCGGTTTTTTCGTCTTGCGAAGCAACCCTATTAGCGGCTTAGCGGCTTAGCGCTATTAGCGGTTTAGCGGCTATTAAAGGCTTAGCGGCTTAGCGGCTAAAAGGCTATTAGCGGCTTAGAAAAAGGGGGGGAAGCGAAAAAAATCGCAAGACTCGCAAGACTTTTTCGTTTTGCGAAGCAAGCCCATAGGGAAATTGCCTTGCGAAGCGCATCGAAAACGGAAAACCCTTTCGTCTAGCGGGTTTTTCGCCTTGCGAGGCATCTGCCTTGCGTGGGCACCACTGTAACTTTTAACATTTTAATTGCCCCAATTTGTTCAGACCTGCCCGAATAATTCAATATCTTCTCAAACCAATCCTCCTCACTGATCTTAAACCCTTTCATTTTATGTATCTTCACAGTTAGATATTCTAAGATTATAATATTTTTCAGTTTTTTCCTCCATTGGTTCACCCCTAGCTCTTCTGCATTTTTCCAATTACTCGCTATAACTTGTCTGGCTGCAATTACCATCAATTTTACCCATTTACATTCCTCTTTTGTTTCTAACTCGGTGCCACTCAGGCTAATAAGAACCATTAATTTAGATATTTCCACCTTCCTACCCACAATTCCCGATATTTCTATACCAATCTGTTTCCGGAATTCATTAACTAACGGACAATCCCACCACATATGACTTCGAAGACCGAGGTCCTATGGCTGGGTTGGGATGGCATGGGGATGACGGACCAACTCCCTTTCTCTTGCGGGGGCCCAATTAGTGCCATTGCCTTCCGTTAAGAGTTTGGGTGTAATCCTTGACGCCTCCCTTTCCATGGAGGCGCAAGTTACAGCAACAGCCAAGGCGACATTTTTCCACCTTCGCCGCATCAAGCAGTTGGTCCCTTACCTTTCCTGCCCCGACCTGGCCACAGTGATCCATGTGACGGTCACCTCCAGGCTTGACTGCTGTAATTCGCTCTATGCGGGGCTGCCCTTGAAGCTGTCCCAGAAACTCCAGCGGGTGCAGAATGCTGCAGCGAGGCTCCTCATGGGGTCTCTGCCATGGGAGCATATTCACCCAGTGCTTTTCCAGCTGCACTGGCTCCCGGTGGAGTACAGGGTCAGGTTCAAGGTGCTGGTTTTGACCTTTAAAGCCCTTCACGACCTAGGACCCTCGTACCTACGGGACCGCCTCTCCCGGTATGCCTCAAGGTCCATAAATAGCAACACCCTAGTGGTCCCAGGCCCTAAGGAAGTTAGATTGGCTTCAACCAGAGCCAGGGCCTTTTCAACTCTGGCTCCGGCCTGGTGGAACGCTCTGCCTCATGAGACCAGGGCCCTGCAGGATCTGATTTCTTTCCGCAGGGCCTGTAAGACAGAGTTGTTCCGCCTGGCCTTTGGCTTGGAGCCAATTTGATTCCCTCCCTCTCTTTCTTTTTTCCTTTCCTTCTCCTCCTACGATGAGGCTACATTTTATTATTTTAATGTTTCAATACTTTAATGTTGTATTTTAATTTTGTTTTTAAGTTGTAATCATTCAACTTGTTTTTATTATTGCTTGTTAGCCGCCCTGAGCCCGGCCTTGGCTGGGGAGGGCGGGGTATAAATAAAAATTATTATTATTATTATTACTATTATTATTATTACGTTCCCATCACTCCACATTTCCTCCAGCAATTCTTACTCCCAGATTTTCTAATACGATATAACCTTACAGGTGTGTAATACCTGAAGTAATGAAGTAATGGGGCGAATCCCCATGGATTCCCACGGTGCCTGGCCCAATGGAGTCCGCAAGGATGTTGATGACGGAGAAGACCCCGCTGATTATTCCAAAGGAGAGACCCGACACTGCAGAAGAGAGTACGAAGGACAAACCAAATTTCACAGCACTCTGAGAACGTTTATTGCTATGCCGTGCCTCATCTTACAGGACATCACTTTCCGACTAGCAGCCACCATCGTGAGAGCTGTTTATAATGGAATTTGCACACACAGGGGAAGGGCAACTCAAGAGTATACCTGAAGGAGCGTCTCCACCCCCATTGTTCTACCCGGACACTGAGGTCCAGCGCCGAGGGCCTTCTGGCGGTTCCCTCGCTGCGAGAAGCCAAGTTACAGGGAACCAGGCAGAGGGCCTTCTCGGTGGTGGCGCCCACCCTGTGGAACGCCCTCCCACCAGATGTCAAAGAGAACAACAACTACCAGACTTTTAGAAGACATCTGAAGGCAGCCCTGTTTAGGGAAGCTTTTAATGTTTGATGTATTACAGTATTTTAATATTTTTTGGGAAGCCGCCCAGAGTGACTGGGGAAGCCCAGCCAGATGGGCGGGGTATAAATAATAAATTATTATTACTATTATTACTATTATTACTATTATTACTATTATTACTATTATTAGAGGTCTGAAAAAGTCAGCAAAGTTGTTACAGTGGTACCTCGGGTTAAGTACTTAATTTGTTCCGGAGGTCCGTTCTTAACCTAAAACTGTTCTTAACCTGAAGCACCACTTTAGCTAATGGGGCCTCCCGCTGCACCACCAGAACACGATTTCTGTTCTCATCCTGAAGCAAAGTTCTTAACCTGAAGCACTATTTCTGGGTTAGCTTGTAACCTGAAGCATATGTAACCTGAGGTACCACTGTATTTCACTTGGGAGGGACCGCTCTGAAAATGGAGCTTTAAAGGAAACCGAATTCTGAAGTGTAAAGGGCTTCTGCTTTAGCTTTGTTGGTTACAGGCGGCTGCTTTTTAAGGCCAGAAAAGGGCTCTTGGTCCAAGCTAGCAAAAAAAAAAAAGGACATCTGGATTCTACAAGGAGGGACTGTTTCAGCGACAGTTGTGGCGCACGTAGGGAGACAGACACGTAAGAAAGGGAACAGCCAGCAATTCGCTCACCATATGCCATCTGCTTGATCGAGATGGGAGACCGGCCGTCTTCGCTGATGGTCACCAACCCTTCGTCAGCTTTCCTGAGGGCAGGATGCAAAAAGAAAGCAGGAAATTGGTCGGCGGTTTGTGAGGCAGAGACAGTCACGAGATTTTTATAGCATAGAGTTGGAAGAGGCATCAAAGGTTGGGTAGTCTGGCAATGCAGGAATCAAAACTAAATAATCCCCGAATGCCTCTTTAAAAACTTCCATGTTTACCCAAGAGCTCCTAGGTTCCGACTCTTTGAACCATACTCCATTTTATTTGCGATGCACTGCTGCATTTCCCCCTGCCATCTTTTATTTAGGAAATTTCAGTGAACAATTGTTTTCCATTTGTTTATTAGTTTTATCTCAAACTATCTCCTTTTATGACTCCAATTTTATGTTTTGATTTATTGTATCCTTTGTATGCATATAAAGGAGATGGATGGATCAATTTTACTTTTATTTATTCAACAAGGTTTATACACACCACTTGATTGTAATAAAAAACCTTTGAGTGGTGTTCTTTTTTTTTTAAAGGACGCCGCATTAAATTTATCAATAAAAGACCATTATAAAAAGGTATTTACAAACATTCAAAGGGTAAGTAATTAAAAATCAAAGGTAAATGAAAAGAAACAGTCTGGACAGGGCCTTGCCTAAACAGATATTGGTTTAAGCAAGTGCTGGAAACAGTAAGGCAACAAAGGGAAATAAATAAAATTGCTGTATTTTTCCATGAAAAAGATGATGGTTTTTGCTAAAAAAAATAAGGCAAAAATTGGGTATCGCCTTATACACAGATAGTGAATGCAAAGCGGGGACGTGCAATTAGTGGCAGAAGCAAGCAGGAGATTGGCAGCAGCGATTGGACAGGTGATTGGCGGCTGCAGTGAGCTGTGCGATCGGCAGTGGCTATGGCAAGCGATCGGCAGTGGCAGGCAGGCGGGTGAGCGATTGGTGGAAGCGACCTCCTCCACCCCACCCCCCAAAGCTAAACAACTTAATTTCTTACCGTATTTTTTGCTCCATAAGACACACTTTTTCCCTCCTAAAAAGCAAGGGGAAATGTGTGTGCGTCTTATGGAGCGAATGCAGGGGGGAGGCAGACAGGAAAAGCCCCCAAGAGCTGCACACACACTCCACCCGGCTCTGTAAAGGGAGCGCTGAGCAGAGCCTGGGATGCATACAAGCTCTGCTCAGCACGCCCTTTAAATATTTTTTTTTCTTGAATTCCCCCTCTAGAAACTAGGTGCGCCTTATGATCAGGTGCGCCTTATGGAGCGAAAAATACGGTAATTTTGGGTTTAAAAAGATTGGGGTCGTCTTATACACGGAAAAATATGGCAAGTCCTTCTCCAAGTGGTGCATGGTTGAACTATGGAACTCGCTGCCACAGGAAGCAGCGATTGCCACCAATCCAGACAGCTTTAAAAGGGGATTAGACAAATTCGTGGAAGAAGAAAAGGCTATCGACAGCTACTAGCTATGACGGCTATGCTCAGTCTCCATGGCTGGAGGCAGAAATGCTTCTGAATATCAATTGCTGGAAACTGCAGGAGGGAACAGTGGGTCCTGATTGCGGGTTTCCTATTAAGGGGACTTGGTTGGTCACCGTGAGACCCGGATTTGGACTAAGTGGGTCGCCGGTCTGATCCAGCAGAGCTCTTCTTATGTTCTGGAGAACCATAGCAGTGAATCCAGATTTTGGGCAGGGACGAAGCCAAAAAGATTCCACCTCTGAAGGGCACCTTTTGTTGCATTTAGGAAGGAAATATCAGCTACAGGGCTGATGTCTTTGGGGCCACCCAGAATCGGCACAGAAGTGGTCTTGTAGTAAGGTTAAAGCTTACTGGGAAATGACATATAATGCATTGAAAAGGATGTTCAAAATAACTTTTATTTTAAAAACCCAGAAGCTTTTCTTTTGGGAATTACAGTATAGGGACAGAACTACCTAAATTGTACAGAAATTTATTTATGTATGCTACTACAGCAGCAAGAATGTACTTGCCCACAAGTGGAAAGAGGAAGAAGTCCCAGCAAAGGAAGAATGGATACAAAAACTCATGGAATATGCAGAAATGGTGAAACTTACCGGAAGAATAAGAAATCAAGATAACAAACTTTTTTTATAAAAGAATGGAAATGGTTTATCGAATATTTGCATATAAATTGCAAACAGATAAAAACATTAGCAGGATTATTGTAATGACCTGCAGTTTTATAAGAGTATATATTTACAGGAGATAATTAAATGAGCAAGTCAAATGAATTTTAATATGCAGAAGATATTAAAAAAATAAATTTAAGGAGCCACAGAAAGAGGGAGAAGGAAGTCAAATTTCGAAATGTTAAATTGATTGTAAAACTAATTGGAATGCATAAATTTGAAAAGTATAAATAAAAACTAAAATAAACATTGGCGCAGAAGTGGGACTATTTGCCACAGCTTAGCAAGGCACTCTTACTTGAGGAGCTTGAAGTACGCGAAGCGAAAGGCTTCCTGGAGCAAGACCGAGACAGCCGCCCCAAACATCAGAAGGCCGTACTGTAGACGCCCATCTTCCCGGTCGCTCAGATGCACCGAAATAAACCAAATCAAAGAGGCCAGGAGCAGGGAGACCAGCCAGAAAAAGGCCCTGGATAGACAGCGAGAGGAATAAAAGGACATTAATCGTTATCAACAGGTGTGCACATACAGTGGTACCTTGGTTCTCAAACTTAATCCGTTCCGGAAGTCCGTTCCAAAACCAAAGCGTTCCAAAACCAAGGCGCGCTTTCCCATAGAAAGCAATGCAAAACGGATTAATCCATTCCAGACTTTTAAAAACAACCCCTAAAACGGCAATTTAACATGAATTTTACTATCTAACGAGACCACTGATCCATAAAATGAAAGCAATAATCAATGCACTGTACTATAAAATAAATAAGACGATATTGCAGGTGATAAAAATTAAATTTAACTTTTTTTCTTAACTGCATTCACTGATGATAGTCATTGTTTGGTTGGGGGGCTTTTATCCATTTCCACAGTCACAGAATCAATCAATCAATCAATCAATCAATCAATCAGTAGCTGAACTGGGTTCCACATAAAAACAAATTAACCGAAAAAGCCTCTAAATAAATAAATAAATAGATATAGATAGATAGATAGATAGATAGCAAAAACAAAAGCGCCAAACTTAATCAGTTCCGGAAGTCTGTTTGACTTCTGAAATGTTCAAAAACCAAGGCGCAGCTTCTGATTGGTGCAGGTGCCCCAGAAACAATAACTGACAGCTGCGTCGGACGTTTGGCTTCTGAAAATAGTTCGAAAACCGGAACACTTACTTCCGGGTTTTGGCATTTGAGAACCAAGGTACCACTTTACTCTGAACTTGGGGAGAAGAGATTCACACCAGGGCAACCCACTTTCTGCAACCTCTTTAAATCACGAGCTACTACGCAGAATTTTTTTCTGCTTCGCGGGAAGAAGCTAAGACCAACCTTTGTCAAAATTAGGGCCCCTCCAGATGTTACAGACTACCGCTGGGGCTGATGGGAGTTGTAGTTCAAAACAGCTGCAGAGAATCAGGCTGACAACAGCTGAGTTGAAGAGCCCCTCTTCTCCCATGCAATTTGGGGGGCAGGAATGCTTCCGAGTACCACTTGCCAGAAACCCCCACCCTGTCAAGCCTTATCCCAGTTATTTAAATCAGGGTGGATTTGATTTAAAATCAAATCAAATCAAATCATAATTTAAATCACTAGTCAGTAAGACTTGATTTAATTTTTTCTTTTCTTTTCAGACAGACTCATTCTTGCTGGTATAATCTTAATATTTACAACCAGATGAAGGTTCCATTTTTGGAATAATAAATTTTCAGAGTAGTTTTTACAGTCACATCCAAAATTACTGATTTGATTTATACTATGATTAGAAATACATAGACAGATAATTACGAAATTATTGTGAGGTTTAATAAGTTAACTGTTTATATTTGGACAATTTTTCTGCTGTACTTTATTGGAAGGAGAAAAATAATCATTTCCTTAATAACAATTTAACAATTTATTTAACTTAAACAATAACATTATAGCATATGTATCCATGTTTGTTAACTGATGTGGTTAAACAATTTTTTTAAAAAAACAACAACCTTAAGACTGAGTTTTAGCACACATGAAAAACTTTAAAACAAATCCTGACGAATAGCCTTTGGACTATAACGTAACTAAAATAGAAAACTATCTTTAGAAATATATTTCCTTTCAAAGCATTTTATTTTAAAAATCCGATTTAAATACATTTTTAAAAATCCGATTTAAATTTAAAAATTCCAATTAAAATGTTTAAAAAATCCATTTTCTAAAAAATAAAAAGAATAATTGATTTTTATGTTACCCTGTTTTAAATTCAGCACTATCTCATAGGAATATAAGAAGCCCCCTTATACAGAGTCAGACCCTTGAGCTCTACCTAGCTCAGGATTATCGCTAAGTTTTTATATATGCTGGAAGCCGCCCAGAGTGGCTGAGGCAACCCAGTTCAGATGGGCAGGGTTCAAATATATTATTATTATTATTATCATCATCATCATTATCTGCATGGACTGGCATCAGGCGTCCCGGGTTTCAGCTGTAGCTGGAGATGCTGTCGACCTAACCTGGGAACTTCCACACCCCAGGAGATGGCTTCAACTGGGAGGCTAAACCATGTGAGGGTAGCTGATGGGTCTCAAACCCTCAGTGAGTCAGGGACTTCCTCTGCTTTGAGAAGGCTGTATCTGAACAAGCTGCAGAAGGAAGTGAGGGACAGGTGGGAAGGTAGCCTATCTAGGAGGAGGAAAACTCTGATCCTAAATCTCTGCTGCTTTGCAGGATATCTTCAGGAGAATACAAGGCCAAGGCATAAACTCTATAACAGGGGTCAGCAAACTTTTTCAGCAGGGGCTGGTTGTCCCTCAGACCTTGTAGGGGGCCGGACTATATTTTTTGGGGGGAAATAATGACCGAATTCCTATGCCCCACAAATGCATTTTTAATTAAAGGACACATTCTACTCATGGAAAAACACCAGGCAGGCCCCACAAATAACCCAGAGATGCATATTAAATAAAAGGACACATCCTACTTAGGTAAAAACATGCTGATTCCCAGACTGTCTGTGGCCTGGATTTAGAAGGCAATTAGGCAGGATCCGGTCCCCGGGCCTTAGTTTGCCTACCCATGCTCTACACCAGCGGTTCTCAACCTGTGGGTCCCCAGATGTTGTTGGACTACAGTGCCCATCACCCCTGAGCTCTGGCTTTGCTAGCTAGGGGTGATGGGAGTTGTAGTTCAACAACATCTCTGGACCCACAGGTTGAGAAAGGCTGTTGTTGTTGTTTAGTCGTGTCCGACTCTTCGTGACCCCTGGACAAGAACACGCCAGGCACTCCTGTCTTCCACTGCCTCCTGCAGTTTGGTCAAACTCATGCTGGTAGCTTCGAGAACACTGTCCCACCATCTCATCCTCTGTCGTCCCTTTCTCCTTGTGCCCTCCATCTTTCCCAACATCAGGGTCTTTTCCAGGGAGTCTTTACAGCATTGGACTTTCCTTTCGCTTCCAGGCATATCCGCAACTGAGCCGTCCTTTCAGCTTTGGCCCAGCCGCTTCATCAGCTCTGAATCTACTTGTACTTGTCCTCCGCTCTTCCTCAGTAGCATGTTGGACGCCTTCCGACCTGAGGGGCTCATCTGCCAGCGTCATAACTTTTATATGCCTGTTGTCTTTGTCCATGGAGTTTTCTTGGCAGGGATACTGGAGTGGCTTGCCGGTTTCTGCTCCAGGTGGATCACGTTCGATCAAAACTCTCCACTATGACCTGTCCATCTTGGGTGGCCCTGCACGGCATAGCTCATAGCTTCTCTGAGTTATTCAAGCCCCTTCGACACGGCTGCTCTACACAAATGCAGAGTGCAGTCCCTAAGACACCTCGTACGCCTCCTTCCGGCAAGTACTGCAGCCAATCTGGTGCCAAACGTCTTGCTCTGATTTCCTTTGGACCACATCAGAGGCCAAGAGGGGGGTCTTGTCTGTCGTTTGAGCAGCCCAGGACCTCCAGACACACTGCCCAGGCTGCGTTCCAAGGAGGTCATTTCGGCATGGCTAACACAGCAATTTTGACTTCACCTCGGAGGCACATTCCATCGTCTCTCGAAACAGACGGATGTCAACAACCACCTTTCCTCCAGAGACCTCAAGGTGGCATACATAGTTCCCCCCTCCCCACGTTATCCTCACAACGACCTTGCGAGGTAGGTTAGGCTAAGACAGGCATAGGCAAACTCGGCCTCCAGATGTTTTGGGACTACAATTCCCATCATCCCTGACCACTGGTCCTGTTAGCTAAGGATGATGGGAGTTGCAGTCCCAAAACAGCTGGAGGGCAGTTTTTGCCTATGCCTGGGCTAAGAGACAGCAACTGGCCTGTTCCTTTCGTAGTGCAACTGTTTACACTCAGGGTTTGCTACCACAATTGGATATCTGATCTTGGACTTCAGAAACCCTTTTGAGTTTTATACCTGAGAAGTCTCTGAGCCGGGCACCGCCACAAACCAGACAGGTTGAGTTGGAGGCATCAGAAAGCTCTGCTTAAATTCTTTAAGGCTGTCATGCGCCGACGATGTATCTAACTTCTCTCCTCTGAGCTATCTAAGGGAAGTTCGGTCACATGCAAACTTTTGTCATGTGCTCCATTGCAGGAAGGAAGGAAGGAATGCAATGCAATGCAGGCTTTGGGGTTTTTTTTTGTAAATAAACAGCAGAACTGGAAAATCTACATTTGCAGAGGACACACACAATGCCCCCTTTTGTCAACCAAAGGCGCTTTCTTGCAGTTTCCAAAGGGACGTTTTAGCACCTTTGGGGCTGTGATTTTCTCAGTGGGAATAAATGCTGCAGGCGCATTTTACAAATACAGGCTTCAAATGCAAGGAAGAGAAAGGCATCGGCCCCACCTTGCTTGCTCTCAATACATCTCCAAAACTCATCATAGCAAGCTCCCGCCATCTGCCTCAGAGCCTAGCATGTCGTCACCAGCAAAATGTGCTCCAGACCCGGCTTCCTACACTCTGGAGGCAATAATAAACAAGGAAAGGACGTGGATTGTAACTTCTGCAAAAAAAATAAATCACAGCCAACAGGACCTGGCTCAGCAGTAGGGAACCTGCCTTGCACGCAGAAGGTCTGGGGTTAAATCTGCAACATCATTGACAAAGCAGTAAATCAATCCCTTTATTTGGGATCATGAGGACAAGGCTGTGATAAGAGCACATACTTTGCACGCAGAAGATCCCACAGTGCAATCCTCAAAATCTTCAGGTCAGGCTGGGAACGTCCCACTGCCTTAAACCCCAAAGAGCTGCTGCCAGTCCGAGTGGACAATACTGAGCTAGATGGACCCAAGGGTCTGACTCTGTTTAAAGCCCACTTGTCCTAAAATATGGGTTTTAAGGGAAGAGGACCCAGAGAAGACTGTGTGACTTCCAGGAGATCTTAAGACTGACAAGCTCCTTAGAAAAACCACAAGAAAAATGGTTTCTGATTTTTTTTAAAATGATGATTATTTCCATGCTGGGGTAGCAGCACTGATGCTAAGATAGTACAGTATTTTAAACCAGATGCTTTATCAGGGAGAAAGGAAGAGGAAGTGACTGAAAAGTTAGTTAATGTCTTGGTGGGAAGGGGCACAGGTGGGCAGAATTGGCCATTAAACTGCAAATGGGCCAGTTTATGCCCACCCACTTTGCACTGTGTTGTTGGTTATAATAAGAGGGCGAGAGAAATACAGTGGTACCTCTGGTTATGTACTTAATTCGTTCCGGAGGTCCATTCTTAACCTGAAACTGTTCTTAACCTGAAGCACCACTTTAGCTAATAGGACCTCCTGCTAGCGCCGTGCCGCCGGAGCCCGATTTCTGTTCTTATCCTGAAGCAAAGTTCTTAACCTGAAGCACTATTTCTGGGTTAGCGGAGTGTGTAACCTGAAGCGTCTGTAACCCGAGGTACCACTGTATGCTTTTCTTCTCTTTTAAAAAGGATTGTTTATTTATTTATTTATTTCCATTTATGAGTTGCTTCCTATGATAGCATATCAAAGCAATTTAGAGAATCGCCTTTCTATGTAAGCCGCTTAAGCGATTTCACATCGTTGCGCGGTTATGTGCAAATAAATAAATAATCACCAAGAACTAAAATGACAGATTACAACGGGACTTCACTCCCCGGAAAAAGTATGGATATAGAGATGGTTACCTAAGCAAACATAAATGAAAAACCAAAATATAATTAAGCTGCCTTAAAATGAAAAGGTGAGATAATAATTTCGCAACCTATCAGTTATAACCTCTCGTTGCTACACTGGGACCTTTAAAGGGGGGCTCTGTGCATGGAGCCCCCTCCCACCCTCACCTTCATAAGTGTGTTTCCATATCACCCTCATAACCTCAAGAAGCCCCTCCCCTGACCCTAGAAAAAGAGGTCTCCACCCACCAGCCCTATTGCCACCAGCCCTATTGCTCTTGCCCCCTCCCCCACTCCAGGCCCCACAACCCTCTACAGGTCTACTCAAACTGAGCTTACTCCACCCATGAAAGTGGGTGGAAGTTTGCACCTTATATGAACAAAACAAAACCAAGCAAAACACTGTGATCTCCGATTTAAAATGAAAAAAAGTGGGAGTAACAATTTTGCAATCTGTCATTAATTCCCTGCCCCCTGGGGCCTGCAAAGGAAGTGCTTTGCACATGCCCCCGACTCCTCTCTTCGCTCCACAATAATCTGTGAGCAAGACTATCATCTCTGCCTTAAAAGGAAAAGGTGGGCCTCGTAATTTTGCAATCAAGCTAAACATCAGGAAGAACTTTCCGACAGGAAGAAGCGGTGAGATCTTTTCCTTGCAGGTTTTAAAGCAGAGGTTGGGTGGTCACCTTTCGTGGATGCTTTAGTTGAGATTCCTGCATTGAGGGGGTCCCTTCATTCTACATTCTATGATTCTATGGAAAGCCCTCCCACTTTCTCTTTGAGAGGCTGGGGCCAGAGCCTTCTCCTCTCCACAAGAACAAAAAAACACGTGAACAAAACAAGGCTATGATCTCTCTGCCTGCAAACAGGAAATGTGGGAATAATCCTGTTTTTTGTTTTGCAATTTACCGTTCAATCATAACCTTCCTGTCTTTGCTAGGCAGAGACCTACCACGGAAGGTCTTTCTGCACATGCCCCGGAGCCCCCTCTCCACGTCACCCTCCCCCAACCGGGACCCACTTTCCTCCCCCCCCAAAAAAGAGGGGATTCCCACCCCAGCAGCCCCCTCCCCCCCAAATCAGCCCCCTGCTGACCCAGCCACCAGGATGATGACGCGCAGGGGGTCCCCGGCCACGGTGAGCAGGCAGAGGGCCAAGGCCGGCCCGAAGGCGATGAAGGTGCAGCCGAAGAACACCGCCGCCCCCATCGCCCCGAGAAGCAGCGCCGGAGGCAGCAGGAACCAGGCAGAGAGGGAAGCTCCGGCAGGGAGCCCGGGCGGGGCCACAGGCGGCCAATGGGAGACGGCGGGGAGGGGAAGCCACGCCCACAGGGTGGGCCGGTCCCGCAGGTCCTCATGGGAATTGTAGTTCCTCAGTTGAGAGGCGGGCAAAGGGCGGTGCGCGACACTCGCCCCGCCCTCAGCTCCATAGATGTGCGAATAGGGTAGAGGGGACCTCCTCTAAAGCTAGATAGATATTCTTTATAGATAGAATGATATATAATGAGATAGATAGAATGATATAATGAGATAAAAAAGATGTTGAAATATACATTTTTTTAAAAAACCAGAAGCATTTTTACTTGATATTATAGGTCAGGACATTAATAGGCAAGATGTTAAATTGTTTTTATATGCAACAACTGCGGCAAGAGTATTGTTAGCCCAGAAATGGAAACAAGAAGAAATTCCGATGAAAGAAGAATGGCAGATGAAATTAATGGACTATGCAGAATTGGACAAAAGGACAGGAAGGATTCGAAACCTGCGGGACCAGAGATTTACAGAAGATTGGAAGAAGTCTATGAATTATTTGAAGAGCAACTGTAATCGACAAATTAGGCTAGCAGGACTACAAGACGTTTTGTAAGGAGAAATATACGAAGTGTTACAAAATAGAAAAAGATAGAGATATTGGTTATGAGTTTGAAATGTAATAGGGAAGATAAGAAATGCATACTGAGAGATTAGATTGGAAAATTTTCAGACAGGATTGATGGAAGTCAAAAATTTGAATAAGTATGTTTAATTACTGTTGAAAATGATATGTTAAAAAAACTAATAAAAATTATATATATAAAAAAGATATTCTTTATAGGTAGAATCAATAGATATTGATAGGCACACTTAATAAAAAATAATTTTTGCTTTTTCTTTTGAGTGCTTTGTTGATTGAAAACTTTATAACAGAAGTGTACAATAGATATTACAGGAGAAATGAGAAATAAAAAAAACCCGGTTATTCATTCTTTAACTAATGCTCGCTTTGTACTGTACATCCATTTGTGATTTAATTTGTCAAGACCTCTGATCTTGCACTCCCGAATTAAATTCCTTAAATACGCACTTAAGCTTTACTTTCTCCATATTATTTGGCTTACTTTACATTTTATTTTATACAATTATCCTATTTACACACCGAAGCTCAGTCAAAACCTGCCAACGGCACACTTAATAAATAGATATAGGTAGATATTGATAGATAGCTACTGATAAATAAATAGATATCGACAGATACTGTTAATCATAGAATCGTAGTATTGGAAGGGACCCTGAGGGTCATTTAGTCCAAACCACCCTGCCATGCAGGAATCTTTCGCCCCATGTGGGACTCGAACCCACAACACCTGAGATTCAGAGCTTTGTGGCTCTACGAATAGATGATACATATTAATAGGATACTCTTAGCAGGTCAGGAAATACCAATAGGGCAGTGAGAGATTTTACTTTCTTGGGCTCCATGATCACTGCAGATGGTGACAGCAGGCACGAAATTAAAAGACACCTGCTCCTTGGGAGAAAGGCAATGGCAAACCTAGACAGCATCTTAAAAGCAGAGACATCACCTTGCCAACAAAGGTCCGTATAGTTAAAGCTATGGTTTTCCCAGTAGTGATGTATGGAAGTGAGAGCTGGACCATAAAGAAGGCTGATCACAGAAGAATTGATGCTTTTGAATTATGGTGCTGGAGGAGACTCTTGAGAGTCCCATGGACTGCAAGAAGATCCAACCTCTCCATTCTGAAGGAAATCAGCCCTGAGTGCTCACTGGAAGGACAGATCCTGAAGCTGAGGCTCCAAGACTTTGGCCACCTCATGAGAAGAGAAGACTCCCTGGAAAAGACCCTGATGTTGGGAAAGATGGAGGGCACAAGGAGAAGGGGACGACAGAGGACGAGATGGTTGGACAGTGTTCTCGAAGCTACCGGCATGAGTTTGACCAAACTGCGGGAGGCAGAGGAAGACAGGAGTGCCTGGTGTGTTCTGGTCCACGGGGTCACAAAGAGTCGGACACGACTAAACGACTAAACAACAACAACAAAACGATAGAAAGTTGCTCTTCACAGATTGATAGAAATTGACAGATAAAACAATATTGATACTTTTTAAATAGATGCGATGCTGGTTTTCTTTGCAAATGGAGATTGATAGATAGCAATGCATAAGAGAGGTAGAGACGGACAGAGCCAGGGTGCTGTAGCGTCAGACCAGGACCCGAGTTCGAATCCTCCCGCCTGGCCACCATGAAGCTTACTGGGTGCAAAGGAGCCAACTCCTAGGGGGCCGAGGGGTCTTTGCCTCCCCAGTAAAATATTTGAGAAGGCTGGGACCCCCAAAGTTGATGGGCGTTGCCATTCAAATGGTGTGTGTGCACCACATCATGGGATGGATTGTGTGGGGCGGCGCTTATATCCCACCCCCAAAATTATTCCATAATAAAATTATTATTATTGTAAAATTCTCCATGGATAGAGAAGTATCTGCTCCCTTGTAGGCAGATAAATGTTTATAGGTAACCTCTTTGAGCGGCACCCTGTACCAGTCCTACTCAGAGTAGACCCATTTAAGTCGATTAGGCCTGGCTAACTTGGCTTCGTTCGTTCTGAACGAGGCGAAAATAACCTAAGGGGAAGGAAAATATAATGAAAATGGTGTATAGATGGTATTTGACTCCTGTAAAATTAGCAAAGATTTACCGTAACAGTGATAACTTGTGTTAGAAATGTAAAGATAAAGAGGGTACCGCTTATCATACGTGGTGGACTTGCCCCAAGGTGAAAGACCTCTGGGAAAAGATTTATAATGAATTGAAACAAAATGTTGAAATATATATTTATCAAGAAACCAGAGGCCTTTCTTCTTGGAATAACAGGTTTGGAATTGCCCAAGAAAGATGTTAAATTATTTTTGTATGCAACAACTGCTGCTTGAATTTTATTAGCTAAGAATTGGAAAACACAAGAAGTCCCAACAGTGGAGGAATGGCAGATGAAGATGATGGATTTTTCGGAGCTAGCCGACCTGACGGGAAGAGTCCGTGACCAGAAGGAGGAAGATTACCAGGAAGAATGGAGGAAATTTAAAGACTATTTAGTTAAAGACTATTTAGTTAAATTAATTGGAAATGCTTGCAAAGAATAGATAGGCTTAGGATTTAAATAGGTAATGTGATGAATTAATACTGAATTGGAAAGAAAGAAAGATGTTAAGTGATTAAGTTAATTTTATAAGAATATTGGTTTTGGGAAAACGTTAAAATGATATACACTGAAATTCAACCAGGGGGATACGAGGAAGTCACTTAACAATGTTACTAAGTTTGGTTTAAATACGGTTGAGATTTATGTTTGTTTGTTTATTTGTTTAATTTTTTTTGGGAAAATCAATTTTTTTTTTAAAAAAAAGCAAAGAAAGAAAGAAAGAAAATAACCTAAGGGGAAATCTGATAAAAGCAGAACCGCTTTTTAAAATGGATTTATGTCTTGTTCTTCGTCCAAGGAGCTCAGGATTGTCATGTTTTACCAGTGACAAAGGCGGAAAGAAATGCACAAATAAACAATGTTGCGAAAGGGAGAAATCTAGGAACAGCCCAGCAACATATATGCAAAATTATTCACATACCAAAACCACATTTAAAAAAAAAATTATTAAAAGGTAGTAAGTGCATAAACAGGGATTTATTTATTTTTTAATGTCAAGTTTTAATGTATTGACTAGCTATTTTGTTATGTCCCGCCGTGTACTCTGGACCAGGTCACAGCAAGTTAAACTCAAAATCGTATATATATAAAAATATTACTGATAAGTGAATATAAAAAACCAACAACTCTCCATTTCCTAATGAAACCATAAATAAATGTCAAAAGTTGGTGAGGGAAATAAATAAACAACCTCCAATGTCCAAATTCTTTGGTTTACGTTTAAATATATTGCTAATGTCTCATTTTAAAATACATCATTGATTGTCCTTTTTTCTTTCTTTCTTTCTTTTGCTGTGGTTGCTTTGAAAACTCCATAGCCTAAATTAAACTGAAACTGAAAAGATTATTATGTTTTGGACTATTACGAATTTATAATTTTAAGTACTTGTTTGTCTTGTATGGCCTATAAAGAGGGAAAAAACCAAATAAGATGTTTTGTGCGACAGACTGAGGTAACTGAGGGAGCAAAGATGGCCGACACAAAGCCAAAAAAGGCGGGAAAATGAAAAATGGGGGGGGGGGGGTTTGTAAATAGCAGAGTCAGACTCAAACAGAAGACACACTGTGAAGCAAATCAAGTTTATTACAGAAAAAAAGCAATATCCAAAAGCTGAAAATATGCATGTAAACCAAACAAAAATAAGACACACTTTTAAAGAAACACTTGCAAAACTCAGAGGCATCGCTGGGTTTAACAATATTCTGGGCAAAAGTTGTTTCTTGTCAGCTCATGGATTTGTTGATGAAACATTGTTGGCACTTACAAATTTCTCAAAGCAGCTAAATTGAAAATTAAAGCAGATTCTGTCTGCAGGCCAATAATTTAAATTCAAGACAAAATGCCTTAAGGAAGAAAGGGGAGGAGGGTCTATTGCGTGCATTGCTGGATTTGACGACAATTAATTTGATTATTTTAACAGCATCTTCTTTATTATTATTATTATTATTAATAGTGTAGCTTTGGGTGCTCTAAGCTCAGTATGGAGGGCTCTGAGTAAAGTTTCTTTTTATTCAGAGATTTGTGGAAGGGCTCCTTTCCGTGAAATGTCAATATCCCACGTCAACAAGCCTCCCTCTTCGCTTGTGTGATTTGTTCAGTGCAAAACTTTCTCAGAATGGTAGAAATTTCTTGAACCACCTCCTCCCCATGTAGAATTTTGCTATCTGATGTCAACAAGCCACAAATGCACAGCAAAAGTGGCTTTTAGTTAGGCACAGCAAATGCTTTTTGTCACAAGTGGCCCATGGCATCGTCACACCTCAAATTCCTGCTCTTGCAAAAAGCCACAGTCTCCACCAGCCCGCGAAATGCAAAATTGCCCCGTTGTGGTCCTTGAGAGAGATAAGATCTCCATGTCTTAAAAACTCCTGCATTGGTCACAGCAGGTTTGCCACAGAGAGCAGCAAAAGGCAAAAGACGTTACACCTTACATTCGCCGCTTTTTATTTTTATTTGTGGCCACCTGCAGAGTGTCTGCATTTTGCAAGAGGGATTCAGCTGCCTACTGGAAATGAAGTTTTGCACAATTGAGAGAGATTAAGGTGCTCTGGGGCAACAAATCTATTACAATATATATCTGTGTGTGTGTGTGTGTGTGTGTGTGTGTGTGTGTGCGCGTGTGTGCGTGTGTGTGTGTGTGTATACACACACACACACACATATATATACATACATATACATACACACACACACACACATACACACACACCGTATTTTTCGCTCCATAGGAAGCACCTGACCATAAGATGCACCTAGTTTTTAGAGGAGGAAAGGGGAAAAGCCCCTTTTTTGAGGATCAGCTCAAAGTTGTGCAGCTTCTTTTGCAAAGGGGAAAAGCCCCTTCTCTTTTGTGGGTCAGCTCAAAGTTGTTGAGCTTACTTTGCAAAGGGACAAAATCCTGTTTTTATGGGGTTCAACTCAGAGTTCTGCAGCTTCTTTAGGAAAGGAAAGGGAGCCGTTTCTACAGTTTCCAGACAGATAATCTAATCAGCCAGTCAGCCTCCGTCTGCAGAACATTCAACAATGGAGACCTGGGCAAGGGGGCAGAAAGGAGCCAGTAATCGACCACACATTCGCTCCATAAGACGCCCAGACATTTCCCCTTACTTTTTAGGAGGAAAAAAGTGCATCTTATGGAGCGAAAAATATGGTGCAGTGATACCTCAGGCTACATACGCTTCAGGTTACATATGCTTCAGGTTACAGACTCCGCTAACCCAGAAATAGTGCTTCAGGTTAAGAACTTTGCTTCAGTATGAGAACAGAAATCGTGCTCCGGTGGCGCGGCAGCAGCAGGAGGCCCCATTAGCTAAAGTGGTGCTTCAGGTTAAGAACAGTTTCAGGTTAAGTACGGACCTCCAGAACGAATTAAGTACTTAACCCGAGGTACCACTGTATATCCTCCCAAAGCAGAGTCTAGCAACTGATGCTTCTCAGACGTCCTTCAAAATTTTGGATTTCTTCCCTTGCACTGCTGGTCTTCTTTTCCTCTCATCTTAGGTCTTGCCTGAAAGTCCAGCTGGCCATAGCAAATTCCATCCTGTTATAAAATTTGGAGGAGAGGGCTGTTAGTTGCTTGATGGCTTAAATTCAACACCTTTTTGGCCATGTGAGAAGCATCCAGACCTCTCTGTCTCCGTTTCTCATTTTTCCAGTTTTAAATACAGTTCTCCACATCTAGGGAAGCTTTTAATGTCTGATGTTTTATCACTTTATTAATATTATTATCATTAATTCTTTTGGGAGCTGCCCAGAGTGGCTGGGGAAACCCAGCCAGCTGGGTGGGGTATAACTAATAAATTATCATCATCATCATCATCATCATTATTTCTGCAGCAATTTGTGATTTTTTTATTTTAAAAAGCTTCATGAAAACCATACAACATTTTAGTGCAGATTTCATTTTGTATGCACTTCTGACTCATGAACAGATTTTCTCAAGTAATTATCCCTAATGGGATGCATTTTTGTACATTATTTTCACAAATATATTCATTTTTGTGAACACTGTTTGGATGGAGAACGACATTGCAAAATTTGGGCAAAATTGCGGCAAGTGCAAACTTCAAAGGATGGCTGTGTTTTGGTTCTCATAGTGTTCCAGAAAGTGCAAATTTGATAGTTCTGAATTTAATGCAAACGGAATCAAATTTATTCCCCATTCCTATCACCCATCTATATTTTAAAAAGAGCCCTTACCTGTATTTCCTCTGAAGGAGGAGGTCCAGAGATCTTGGTGTGACACCCTTCGGAGCAAAACAGTTTTACTATATTTGATTATTAAACAAATTTAACACAAAAACAGATGCACGTGCTATCATTAACAACACATGACACACTTTAAAAAAAGGCTTTAAGATTCCCCCCCCCCTTGAATGTTGTCGAGGGCTGCCAAAAAGTGGTTGGACCACCCTGATACACACATACACAAATTTAATATTTGATTTTTACAGTATTTTCTTATGCACATTTTGCACTGTTTCATACAACTGATTTTTGTTGATTAAGTGATATATATCTTGCTAATTAAAACATAAAAGAAATAGTGGGAAGCCCCGTCTGCCTTGTGCACTACAGGCAGCAAAATTTCCTTTTGCCCTCTGCGTAAAGAGACACTGACATAGGGCATATTGTCATGGTTCTTTCCTGAGTGTAGCTCCTCATATTACCTGGGCCAATTTGGATCCAAATAAAACTCAGGAAGATGAGCAGTGATGCCAACACACCAACGACAGCAAAGAACACTGTGTAGACTTGGCAGTTCCCGTTATCGTGTGTGGAAGAAGCTTTCAAAAAAGGAGAGAAAGAATATATAAAAAAAACACCCCAGCTTTGCTTACTCAGGAATTTCTGCTGTCGACAGAAGACAACAACGCATCACTCACATGCATTGAACATGGCGGTCCTTTTCACGCTGGTGCCGGAGGAGTTGAACTTGACTTCGCAGGTGATATTTCCCCCACTGCTGTGTAATTCCATGGGGAAGCGAAGGAGACTGACAAAGGTTAAGGATCCACTGTTGTTTTTTGCTAAAAGGGTCCGGGCCTCATGAGGGAGACCTCCCGGGACGTCCCAGGAAACCCGGACTAAGTTGCACGCTCCATGGACCACGCAAGCGAGCTGGTTTTCCAGCTGGGAAGATGGCCCTTGCTTAGAGGGTTTTAAAAGCATCACCCGGGTGCTTGGGGTATAACTGTCTGATGAGAAAAAAACAGGGAGAGGAGAGATTCATCATTGCATAATTTCATCCACCTCTATCCTGCCCCCTCTTATTTGCCCTTTCTAAAAACTAAAAAGCACCAAACTCCTACATCCTCTTCTGAACCTTTACTGGCTCTACAATATCCCTTTTCAGGTGAGGTAACTGGAACTGTACACAGTATCCCAATTGTGGCTTGCATGAGATATTTGTGTCATGCAATTATAATGCGGGCGGTTTTAATTTTTATCCATTCCTAAGGATCCCTAGGATGGATCTGCCTTTCTCAATTGTTCTAGGAAAGCTGTATCTTCGTCAGGAGGTTTGGGGTGAGGCCCCCTTAAATGCTATGGGGAAGGGCTGGGCTAATGTTTTGCTCCTGCAAAGGCCAGAGCAGTTTCTTAGAGAGAATCGTAGGAAACAGCCGAGCAGTTGAGGGATATGGCAGACCCTCCATGAAATTCTTGGTGCCAATGGAGGCCGAATGAGGCTGGTTTCTGGTATTTTGTGACAGGATGAAATATGTAAGAGCAGGGCTAGAATTCAACAACAGCCTTGCCTGCAACATATGAGATGATCTTGAGAACGGATGCTAATTTAACTGCACCACTCAGTGGTTCTAGTGCAAATCTCAGACCTAATCTCTTACCTCCAACAACCAGTAGGCATAATCCTTTGCTGACATTATAATTTGTTGTGACACAGAAATATATGCCAGAATCCGACCTCTGGACATTCAAGATCTCCAGCACTGAGTTTTGACTGTAAGCTTTAGCTCTGCAGACAAATCTGTCCCTAGTTTCTCCATCGTTACAACGTTTGACTAAAACTGGAAATCTGCTTTCTCTTCTTTTATACCAACTGAATGATAATCCGCCGTCCTCAATTTTTTCGGCAGAAGTGCACTTAATCTGTGCCGACTCTCCAATCACCACAAACTGGAACCTCTGAGTTGGATACAGGAACAAAAGGTGGGCTGGAAGCACTGTGGAGGGGAAACGCCACAAGGACCGTTAACGGCTGCAGTTTTTCACCCCTGACTTTTTAACACCGCTTGAGGATCTCTACATTGCCCTGTGACTGAAACATTAGAAATCAGATGCACGTTTAAGGAAAAAGTGGGAAATGTTTTACCAAAACTACAGAAAGTTTCAGAGTCTATAAAAAATATTCAACTCAATCGCTTTCTTAGGTTTTAAGAGTTGGGCAAAAGCAGCAGAATAAATCTTACCTGTGGAGGACAAAACAAGGTATGTGGTCAACAACATTGCTGAAAGTAGCGGCAGCAGCCAGAACTCCAGAGCCCACATCAAATGTACAGCAGCTTCAGTGGAAAAGGTTTAATGTGACACCAGCTTCTTGCCAGAGAACCACCTTCATGTGGGCGTTGCAGTGGGGTGATGGGGGCCATTGAGAAAGGTCAGCAGGGCTTGTGATAAAGTAAAAGCATTATGGGAATTGATCTATAACGAGCTAAAAAAGATGCTTAGATATACCTTCCCCCAAAAGCCAGAAGCACTTTTGCTGGGTTTGATGGGAGAGGAAATTGCTAAGACTATTTCTGTACGCCACGACGGCAGCAAGAACTTTATTAGCTCAAAAGTGGAAAGTGCAGGAATTGCCAACTATTGAGGAGCGGCAGACGAAGATGATGGACTACGCGGAATTAGCCAAGCTGACCGGTAGAATCCGGAACCAAGACGACCAAAAGTTTCAAAGAGGCTGGAATAAATTTATTGGGTATATGAATAATTGTGGCAAAAATGTGAAGACACTAGCGGGATTGAAATAAATCCTGCAGTGAAACCTAAAACATTTTATAACTTTCTAGACCAAAGAGACAGAGTTGACTATAAGGATATAAAGGTCAGAAATGGAGGTTTTAAAGTGCAATATAAAGACTTGAAAACAAAAAAAAAGTTGAAGGAGTGGAGGGAAGTCATGAGCTCGACAGAGCAAAGAGTATTTTTATTTGCTATTGTAATGTTGGGAATAGTGTGTTAAGAAAGAAATTAATAAAAATTATATGTAAAAAAATAAATGAGAAAGGTCAACAGGGAGGAATCACTCCCAGAAAGCCCCCAAACAGCACTCCCTGCTTTATTCAATGCCCTGTTATTGCCTAAATGTATAGGTAAAAGTAAAGGGACCCCTGACTATTAGGTCCAGTCGTGGCTGACTCTGGGGTTGCGGCGCTCATCTCGCTTTATTGGCCGAGGGAGCCAGGGTACAGCTTCCGGGTCATGTGGCCAGCAGGACTAAGCCGCTTCTGGTGAACCAGAGCAGCACACGGAAATGCCGTTTACCTTCCCGCTGGAGCGATACCTATTTATCTACTTGCACTTTGACGTGCTTTTGAACTGCTAGGTTGGCAGGAGCAGGGACCGAGCAACAGGAGCTCATCCCGTCGTGGGGATTCGAACCGCCGACCTTCTGATCGGCAAGTCCTAGGCTCTGTGGTTTAACCCACAGCGCCACCCGCGTCCTTGCCTAAATGTCTGCATAAATGAATGAATATTGACATATCTTACCCTTTAAAAAAATGGACACGCTGCCTTCGGGTCCAGGCTGAATTCTGGCAGCAGATTTCCATCCTGATCTATAGGAAGCACAGGAGCTTGCTTTCTGCTAAGCCAGACCTATCTAGCGCAGTGCTGTATACACTGACTGGCAGCATCTCTCCAGGGTTTCAGGCACAGGACATTACCAGGCCTGCCTGGAGGATGCCAAAGATTGAACCCGAAACTTTTCTCTTGCAAAACATGTCTATGGCATTTATTTCCCTTTCGGCAGAAGTGAATGAAATCTGCAGGCACAGTAGCCCATTCCTGAGTTGACAAAACTTTTCACACTACAGTCAGATAGATCCAGGAGTTTTTATGCTTGGTACCTGTAAAACCAACATTATTTTTGTTATTGTTATTTTCCCTTTGGTGTCAGAAGCTGCAAGTTTAACCAGCTCAGTTAAATCCTAGTCTGGGCTCTACAAAAGGCCAAGAGCTTTATCTTTTGGCTAGGCTTCCCTAGAGATACCCAGGGGCACATTTATCCTCAGTACCCCTCTCCATAGATCAAGAAAGACAGGAGGAAATCAAACTAAAAGCTTGTTATTTGAGAGCTATATTTAGGCAGTAGCTGGCTGGCCACCTCTGCAGCTTCAACAGACCACAGGCACACAAAATCCCTGGGTGTGGATCTCAGAGGTAACTCTGGTTAAGAAAAAAGCACCCTCCTGACTCAATCTTTCTGCTCTTGTTGGTTTTGACACCCCTGAGCCTATTTTCTTCATTTGCAAAATTGATAAAAACAGGAAATTTTTGCAGAAGTTTGTGTGGCTTTGGCTTCAATGCTGTTTGTAACGGTAATGAAATGTTGGTAGTCTGACTGGGCAGGAAGGACCCCTCGTAGCTCACAATGGCCTGCTAAGTCAACTTGAATTGTTGAATTGTTTTCCCTGCTCTGCCACGGGGAAAAAACATTCTGCCTCTCTCATAAACGAAACCTAGGAGAGAGAAACGGGGGAGAAACTTGATCCATTTTGCATTTAAAGTAGAACCAAACTGATTTGCACTTCCCAAAGCAATATGCAAACTGCACCTAGCCATCGTTTGAAATTTGCATTTGCACCCCAATTTGCAATGCGGTTCTCCTCTCACGTAACGTGTGCAAAATAAAAAAAATTAAACATACATGTATTAGGGTAACCTGTGCAGGAAAATAATTCTGAAATAGTGTTCCAGGGTAGAGGGGGAGTTAATTCATATTTATACTTAATATTAATTTTGCAATGCAGTTTCTTATGGAGAGAAATTAATATTCATTTGGTCTGAAAATTAAAAAGATAAAAAATACGCATAAAAATGAAGCTATTACTGAAAGGTTTGTTTTATTTATTGATTTCATAAAACTTCTGTGCCTGTTTGATTGTAAAGAACCTCAAAGCAGTTTACAAAAAGAATAAAACAATAATACAAAACAAAAAAGTGAGAAAAACTGCTAAAAACATTACTTGAAACATTCAAAAAAGATTAAAATCAGACTGAAACACACATTCCCTGTTTAGGGAAGTTTTTAATGTTTAATACTGTATTGTGTTTTTAATATTTGGTTGGGAGCCGCCCAGGGTGGCTGGGGAAACCTAGTCAGATGGTTGGGGTGTCAATAAATCATCATCATCATCATCATCATCATTTTACAAATTCAGAATGAGTATTCTGTGGCAAACATATTCCAGTATATTGCTTTGTAAAAAATATTAGGCAATATTGTGCATATTAGGCAAAATTGCATTCTAACCTATGTATATCAGGAGTAATTTTGCACCAAAATTCTGATTTATTTTCAAGAGTCGCAATCTGATGTGGAAATTTAGAGAAGTGGGAACTGAAGAATGAGAAAGTGATAAGCTGAGAGAAACACAAATTAAAGGAGTCTCCCTTCCGCAATGGCACGTAAAACTGGGCCATTGGAATATGCCGCAGAATGCGACCCTTACAAAAATTCCCCTGTGTGTCCATCATTCAGAATGATTTCTTGTTTTTACAATCAATTTCATTAAAGGTTTTCTAACATATTATACAATTAAAAACAAACTGATCAAGAAGGAAATAATAGAGAACAATACATAAAAAAAGGAAAGGAAAAAGAGAAAAATAATAAAATAAAATAGTAAAAACAACCATAATAGTAATGATCCTAATAAAACACATTTTATATATTGTTTACAATCAATTTTATTAAAGGTTTTCCAACATCTTATACAATAAGAAGCAAACTAATCTAGAAAGAAGTAATAGAGAACAGGTTAGCAAAGGGTGTTAAATTCAGAAGTCTCCTTTTCTACTTCTCCACATTCCTTCTGCAGACTCCATGTTTCTTCTTAGCTGCTGTGACCTATTCAGCTTGGAACAGAAAACAGAAAGGTCAAAAGCCAGATTCCAGAGGGATGCTTCTGTTAGGAACGAAGGACGAGAAATCACCCGGAGAGGTTTAGAGTGGTTCTTGAGATCCCATGTTGGGGGACCTGGACTGCTTTGGACATACAGCGATACTGTGATGGCCTGGGAATCCGATTCAGAGGCTGAACTGGAGGAACCCCAGCCTGCACAGGAGCCCCCGCCTCCAGGGCCGGCTGAGCTGGGGCACGGGCCTTGATTCTGAAGCGCCTGCACCTGTGCCGGATCCTCAGGAGCAGGCACCAGGTGATTCCACTCTGGCTCCGGAGGTGATTGAGGACACAGTGCCTACAGGTGTGCCTCTCCCAGCCCTGTCAGGGGAAGATGAGTCTCCCCCTGGGTCCAGAAACCCTCCAGCCTCTCCTGAGCTGCAGAGGCTCAGGGCAGAGAGGCGGAGGGAACTGGTTTCTCCCAGGAGGAGTGCTCGCCTTAAGGCCAGGAGAGGCAGGTCTCCTGGGGGCCGGGACCGCCCCTGGCCTCAGAGAAGATAAAGGCCAGTCAGCCCGGTCCCAGGTTGCGGGAGCAACGTCGGTGAATACCTGCTTCTGCCCGGACCCAGACCTGTCCTTCCAGAGTTCCCGTCCCCGCCCGGGTTCCTGCGTCAGACCCCGCCGCTCTTTGTGAACTGTTTCCAGACTCGTGACCCAGGACCAGACTTTGACCACGCCAACGGTAACCTTCCCCCCGGGACCAGCACAGATACCTTTATTGTCGAACTTAATCCGTTCTGGGAGTCCATTCGACTCCCGAAACCGTTCAAAAACCAAGACGCGGCTTCCAATTGGCTACAGGAGCTTTCTGCACTCAACCGGAAGCTGCGTCGGACGTTGCAAAAAACGTTCGCAAACCGGAACACTCACTTCCGGGTTTGTGGCGTTCGGGAGCCGATTTGTTCGACAACTACTGTATTTTTCGCTCTATAAGATGCACCTGACCACAAGACGCACCTAGTTTTTAGAGGGGGAATGCACATCCCGCAAAAGCCCCCAAGAGCCGCGCTCCCTCCTTAGGGAAAAGCCCCCAAGAGCCGCACACACGCTCCGCGCAGCTCTTGCGGGCTTTTGCAGGAGGTGGGGGAAGGGACAGAGCGCGGCTAAGCCAGAAGCTAGAACAGTGAGAGGGAGTGCAGTGCTCCCTCTTGCTGTTCTGGTTTCTGGGATAGCTGCACAGCCTGCATTCGCTCCATAAGACGCACACACATTTCCCCTTACTTTTTAGGAGGGGAAAAGTGTGTCTTATAGAGCGAAAAATACGGTAAGCCGTTCAGAAACCAAGGTACCGCGTACTTCAGATCCAGGTTGTTTCTTTGTTTG